TCAAAAGCCTTGCTAATTTTCCAATGCTCAATTTATTGTTTTCAATCTTGGACAGTTTTCGATTTCTCTAAATTGCAAAATTATGAACATTCCTCCATATTGAAATTTTGATTTTCTAGTCCACGATTCCAAAAAATAAATTATAGCCAAAATCGAAACAAAAATTCCAAATAAGAAAGGCCAGATATTTTGAAAAAAAACTGAAGGGTTTTGTTTAAGGCAATAATCTTTAGGAAATGTCTCAATTTTCATGATTCTGCAACCCATTAACATGCAAACATGTTGTAACAATTCCATGTACAATGTTGCAATAATTTCCAACGTTGATGGCCTTTAATAATTAAAGCCGCAAGCAGGGTTCTGCATTTTCGAAACAAAGAAAAGAAAATGAACTCTCGGCAGAATCGCTTCATTTCGAGCAATATCATTTTCGTGTAAGTCATCGCGTTTCTTGTTATGTAGTCACGATGATGATTCCTCTTTTCAAGCATGACTGGACTATCGCTTGTCTCGTTCGTCAATTGTTTCAGTTCATTTCATTTGAAGCAAAGACTTATTTCAATTGACGCAATGAATGACTCGAAAACTGCTTCCTTCGTTTTTTTTCCACTTTCACTTCAATTCGGGGCTCATTCGACTTGTTACGACCTGACGACGTAGGCATTAAAATATAGTATCCGGATAGTATCCGCACAATATCGCTTGCCGATAGGGATGGCATCCGGATTATATATAAATAGTAATAATATATTATTTTATATCAACGGCGCCGGTGGTGTAGTGGTAAACGTGATTACCTCTCACCCCAGCAGGCCTGGGTTCAATCCCAGTCGGCGCCGCCGGGATGTTCTGAGGCATAACATCTCTGATCACGCCTTCCTTCGGATGGGAAGTAAAACCGTTGGTCCCCGGTTCATGAGTTGATGGGTCGATAGGTAGGGTCCAGGTGTGGGAGAGCTGCCTTCCTGGCACGTCGGTAGCATTGGTGTTCAGCACGGAAAACAAGATCGACGGAAAAAACAAACCAAAGGAAAAAAAAATATATCTTATTTTATATTAAACGAAAATTAAATTAGCGTGGCCATTCTTGACTCCAAGTACACTACCTTACCCTAAATACCCTACAATAGGGTATTATTGGAACGGGGATGCCGCGTAGATGCTGAAAATCGATACCCGATGCCATTTTGGAATTTAACATAGTGGCCATTGATTTTATGAAGTGTTAAATACCCTAAGATATGGGTATTTTCGGAACGGGAAGAACGCGTAGATGCCAAAAATCGATATCCGACGCTATGTTGGAATCCAATATAGTGGTCATCAGGATTCAGAAAGTGTCAAATATCCTACAATATGGGTATTTTCGAAGCGGGGACGACGCGTAGATGCCGAAAATCGATATTCGACGCCATTATGAACTCCAATGGCCGCCATAATAGGGTTTCAGAAAAAGTGTCAAATACCCTACAATATGGTTATTTTCGGAACAGAGACAACGCGTAGATGCTGAAAATCGATATCAGATACCACTTCGGAATCCAATAGGCGGCCATCAGGGTTCAGAAAGTGTCAAATACATGGGCACAGACAAACAGACGTAACACATTGAATATTTCTCACTGTAAAACATCGTCGGTAAAACATTACCGTCATCTGTTGAGTACACTGTGGTGGGCACATACGCTGGACAGATGACGGTAGTGTATAAACGTCAAACGCATGGAAATTGACTATACGCGCCACGATACTTTTAAATTGTCCGTTAAATGCTTATTCGATAAACAACTTGTGAGTGTTATGTCTGTTTGTCTGTGAGATGGGTATTTTCGGAATGGGGACAACGTGTAGATGCCGAAAATCGATATCCGATGCCATTTTGAAATCCATAAGATCTGGGTATTTTCGGAACGGGGACGACGCGTAGATGCTGAAAATCGATATTCGATGCCATTTGTAGGGTTTTTTGACACCTCTTCTGAAATCGGAAGCCACCATCTTGAATTTCAAGATGGCGTTGGACATCGATTTCTGGCTTCTAGATGTCAGCCCGAGTCCAGAAAACCCACATTGATCGGTATTGGACAGTATTTCACAGTTTTTCTGAACCAAAGACGCCATCTTGGATTTAAAGACGGCGTGACATCAATTTTCGGCATCTACGTTTCATCCCCATTCTAAAAATTACCATATTTTAGGGTATTTGACACTTTTCCGCAAATCGGATGCCGCCGTCTTGGATTACAAAATGGCGTCGGATATGGATTTCCAATCTCCAGACGTCCCCCCATTTCAAAAATACCCATATTGATGGGACGGCATCAGCATTTCCCATTTTTTTTCTGAAATTTGAAGCCACAATATTGGATTTCAAAATGGCGTCGGATATCGATTTCCAGCCTCTAGACGCCATCCCGATTCCAAAAATACTAATAAAAAATGGGTATTTGACAATATTTCCCCACTTGTTCTGAAATCGGAAGCCGCCATCTTGGATTTCGAAATGACGTCGCATATCAATTTTCGATCTGTAGACTTTGTACCGAATACAAAAATACCAATATTGATATTTGACAGCATTTCCACATTTTCGGCGTCGGATATCGATTTTCATCCTCTAGACACCATCCCGATTCCAAAAATACCTTTATTGATAAGTATTTGACAGCATTTCCCACTTTTTCATAAACTGGAAGCCGCCGTCTTGGATTTCAAAATGGCGTCGCATATCAATTTTCGATCTCTAGACGTCACCCCGATTAAAAAAAATACCCATATTGATGGGTAAACAAACCACCCTACAATGATAAATTTGACATCCACGTGTGCAGATCTATGCGCATACGCTTAAATGAACCGATTGAACAATCAACAAAAGTAATAAAAACTGCGCGACTTTGGATCGAACAGTTTTGCTTCAATGAAAAAGAAAGTTCATTTGACAATGAAAGAAGAAATGAAAACGAGTCAAGCCAAAACAAACAGCATGAAAACCAATCGAAAGGGGTTATGTTGATGTTGACGGGGATCTGCTCGAAGAGAAGACAGAATGACTTTCAATTGAAAGTGATGGTTGACAGCTTCATCGTCACTTGACGATTTTCGATTGACAGTGACTATGTGGGGCCCTGGTAGCAAGTTTAAATTATTATTTTTTGATTAGAGGGTAAATCAATTGATCATTTTAGATGGTCAAGTTTTGAAACCACCACAGCATGCTTTTGGCGCTACTTAGTGTATATGGACGATCAAATGTAAAATATTGTGGTAGCCACAGCATTGTTCTGTCAAAAACTCAGCATTGCAGTGATATTTTTAAAGCAATTTGTTTAAAAATCTGGGAAAATCTGGAAAATATTTTTTTAAAACCTGGAAATATACGTGGTCTGTCTGTGTATCTGGCAAGACGACTGACAATCTGGAAAATCCAGATAAATCTGGAATACTGGCAACGCTGCCCGTGAAAGCCGTGGAGATGCAGAGGTGCATTCGGTCTCTACCTCTAGTAACAACAACGTACGTCGAAATAATCATCCTTCACTCCCCAAAGACTATATTGATCTATAAATAGATTGAATTAGTGTGCTTGTACATTGAATATGGAAAGCTAATCCCATGCATGCACCATCTACGTGGTTCTCTGTGCAAGTGCATTAGTTCACGGAGGAGCAACTACGAAATGTCTTTTTATTAAAAAAAAATACAAATATCCATTAGGCCGAATGGGCACTAGGCCGAATAGTCATGAGGCTTAGTGGCTTCCAACTTACCAAAACTTACATAAATTTTGACGAGATTCCTTACACAGTTATGTTTTAAAGATTTTCAACATTTAGATATATTTTCAGACTTTTCGGGCTTGGAAAACTTTTTGACAGATCTTGGACTGCGATTTTTGGTATTTACGGAATTGAAGAAATTTTATACATAACCCTGAAATTTAAAAGATTCAAGTTTGGCAAGTAATTAAAATGCAATATTTTAAAAGTAATTTCCATTCTCTCAAACATGAGCAGTTCTTTCAAGTTTTACTGGTTTCGTGAATTTTGGCATCACGAATAAAATATGCCATCTCTTTAATTTTCCTTCTTTTATAAGATGGTCATTCTCTTCTCACACCTGACTGACTGATCTGATTATATTTAGATAAGAATTTCTATAGTAGATTTTTCTTTTTCCTAACATGAGACGAAATAATTAAATGTGCTTTGAGTTCAATATGAACTAGCCTTATCTATCCTTCTATTATTTGCTGCGTATTCTCTTTTTCAGACGAGAAAATGTTAAGAAATAATTATCCGAAATTCGGCCCAGTGACCATTTGGCCTAGTTACCATTCGGCTTAACGATTGTTTGACCTAATGACCGGTCGGCTAAATTACCATTTGGCCTAGTGAACATTCAACACAATCTTCGAATTAAGGTATTGGAATCTAAAATACTCCTAGAACAAGTAATTAAAATTAAATAGAATTTCAAATTTTGTTATTCTGGGACCGTTGAATTTAAAAAAAAATATGTGGGTGTGATTTTATTTCGGTAATTCGTGACTTGTAACGGATGTGATTTGATCCAACCAATGATAAAACCCTCCCATATCTAAAACGTCTCTCAGCTGGAGATGCTATCCGGAGCTCCCCAGAACGTTCACCGAAATGGTTCAAATTCTCCAAATTCTGTAAACGGCAATGCCCTTTCCGGACCTGCCACAACAGCTGCAAGTGTCGCATGCTCACATGTGGGCCACGGCATACCTGCCAATTTTTGAATACGCAATGAGTGTTAATGCATTCTAGCTAGCTACTTGCCATTGTATGCAGTTTTCAAGTACGTACATCATTTTCTATCGATAATTTTGCGCGTGGCACACAGAGGTAAGCACTGCCATATGAAAATTACAAATTCTGAATCAATTATCAGGTCACTTTGGGGGTAATCACGTGACCGGACGGCCACTATAAATTGAGCCGCGATAGATCCATTCAGCACTAATCGCTTACAACTATCGGTAACATTTCCATCGCTTTCTCCGTGTGGTGTAATCGAAATCGTTTTCAAAATGCCGTCGCGTCAAATCCTTTCGGTCGGATCGGAAGAAAGTATCGTGCTGACCGGAATATCCGGTCGGTTCCCGCAATCGAACGACGTGCGTGAGTTTGCTCGCAACCTTTACGATAAGCGAGACCTAGTGGACGATCTGGAGACCCGATGGAGGCACGAGATGGCAGATGTGCCACGGCGTACCGGGAAGATCAACAATCTGCAGAACTTTGATGCGGAATTCTTCGGGATCAGCCGCTATGAACGGGACACGATGGATCCGCAGATGCGCATGACAATCGAGCATGCCTATGAAGCCATAGTTGACGCGGGAGTGAATCCGCAGACCATTCGTGGTTCGCGAACGGGCGTGTTCAGTGGTGTTTGTTTTTCGGAAACTGAAGTTTGCATGTACTACAAGGCACGTCCTGACAAAGGGCTAGGTCTATTGGGGTAAGAAGTGACATTTCACAGTGTAGTGGGAATTAGTGCTCATAGTTGTTTGTTTCAAGGTGTTCCAAGTCGCAGATTCCAAACCGGGTTTCATATTTGTTGGATTTGAAGGGACCCAGCTACGCGATCGATACGGCTTGCAGCAGTTCAATGTACGCGTTGGATGTGGCATATCGGAGCATTATGAACGGTGAATGTGATGCGGCGATCGTTACGGGAGCCAACCTTACCCTGCATCCTTACATTACGTACCAGTTTGCATTGTTGGGAGTGCTGGCGAAGGATGGTTACTGTCGACCGTTCGACAAATTCGCTACTGGTTACACGCGATCGGAAGCGATCTGTGCTGTATTTCTGCAGAAGGCTAAGTACGCAAAGCGTATCTACGGTCACATTATTCATTCTAAAACAAACTGCGATGGGTTCAAGTCAGAGGGGATAACCTATCCGTCAGGGTTAGTTCAACAGCAGCTGTTAACAGAGTTCTACGATGAGGTAGGAATCAGCCCTACGGAGGTGGATTACGTTGAAGCTCACAGCACCGGAACATTTGTGGGAGATCCAGAAGAATGTGATGCTATAGATAAGGTTTACTGTACTGGACGAGACCAGCCGCTACCCGTGGGTTCCGTGAAGTCCAGCATTGGCCACACGGAAGCCTCAGCAGGTGTATGCTCGATAACAAAGTGCATCATCGCTATGGAAAATGACTTGATTCCTCCGAATATCAACTTCACCGAGTGCAGACCGATTATTCCTTCGTTGGTGGAGGGTCGCTTGAAGGTAGTTAGCGATGCGCTGCCCTTATCGGGGCCCCTGGTTGGAATCAACTCGTTTGGTTTTGGAGGTGCAAACGCCCATGCTCTATTCTGTCGCAATTTGAAGGAGAAAAAGAACCACGGCGTTCCCGAGGATGATCTTCCACGGTTAGCCATATGGTCTGGAAGAACTAGAGAAGCTGTTGACTACATGCTTCAGGACATCGCTCAGCGTCCTTTGGATGCTGAATTCATTGCTCTTCTTTATAATGTTGAAGCACAGGCAATCGCAGGTCATCGTTATCGGGGGTTCGGGATTTACAAAAAGAATGGCAAGAACCCAGCTATCTTGCAAGGATCGTTTGTTGATCGAGTGAAGCTGGAGCCTCTTCCTGTGGTGTCAGTTTTTGGAGGAGTGAATACTAATTGGAGACAGGAGTTAGATGCGCTGAGACAGTTTTCGATAGTGGAGGCCACCTTCGTCAATTGTAGCGAAGTTCTTCGATCGCTAAAGTTCGACCTGTACAAGAAGCCCTCAGGTAAGGAGAGCATCCTGTACAACATGGTTGGATCGACTGTTCTTCAATTGTCGATCGTTGATCTGCTGAGCTCGATTGGAGTCCAATTCGATTCCTACGCAGGTCATTCTGTGGGACAAATCACCTGCGCTTACATCGACCGTAGTTTGAATCTCGAACAGGCCCTCAGACTTGCTTTCTGGCATGGACTGGTGTATTCGGACTGTCATGCGGTTTGCGATCATACCGCCTTCGTTCGAATGAGTTCCAAGTTAAACGAACTTCCTATGAAAAACGTCACCAAGGATGATGCAGCTACATTTGGTATCCTGACCGCTACTAAAGAGATTGTAGCCGAACAGGTCCGTCAACTAAAGTCATCCGGATTTGCTGCTGAGGAATTACCTTTCCTCAATTTACACTCTGAACCAGCCAGAAACATATCCATGGCCAACAAGCTACGCCAGACTGTGAATACCGTTTTGTCTAGAGTCGTCCTGCCATCTCCGAAGTGGATAACTGCGAAATTGCCTCAGACATCTTCGATTTTCCATTCACCAAAAATTCACGATACGTCGTCGATTGTAAACTTATTGGAGAAAATTCCCAGTCACACCCATGTGATGGAGCTGGGTGGCTCGCTGACATGCGAGAAAATACTTCGAACACTAAATCGCAATTCAAGCTACCTTCCTTCAGGCGCGGAATCTAGCGATGCAGTCAACCGATTGTTGAGCAGAATTGGCCAGTAAGTTAAATGAAACGTTTCACTTTCAAATTCAAGCTATTTGTATCCTTTCGTTTTAGTCTATATCTGGCATCTCAGAAGCTAGACATTGCCAAGTTATATCCGGAGATTCAGTTTCCCGTGTCACGTGGGACACCCATGCTTTCGCCGTTGATTCGTTGGGATCACCGTGAAGATGCTTACGTTGTTAAGTATTCATGGGATGAAACCACCAAGTCCAACTTGTTACGTTTCAAGATCAATATGTCTAATCAGGACTACAAGCACATCGTAGGTCATTGCATTGATGGGCGTATACTGTTCCCGGCTACCGGATATTTGTACCTTGTTTGGGACCTGTTGTCTTATCTTGGACATCGCGATGTTAATGACTATCCAATTGAATTTGAAGACATTAGATTCTTGCGGGCTACCACTCTTACCAAAGATCAAACGGTTGAGCTGAGCGTTATGATCCAGGAGTCTTCAGGATGGTTTGAGGTATGTTCTGTTGTTAATGAGTCATTTGAAAATTCTTGACATATCTTCCATTTCAGATTCTGGAAGGTGACACAGTTGTTGTAACGGGGTACGCCAGATTTTTAAAGGATTCGAACTATCCAATTATCAATGAAGCAACCAGTTCTGCAGTCACCTTGTCGACAAGGGACTTTTACAAAGAACTTCGTCTGAGAGGATACTACTACACAGGACTCTTCAAGTCGGTGTTGGAAGCAAAATCTGACGGAACAATGGCAAAGATTCAATGGAGAGGAAACTGGGTAGCATTGCTGGATTGTTTGTTGCAGGTCGGAATTGTTGCCATCGACAGTAGATCACTGATGGTTCCGACAGCAATTGGGAAGCTTTCTATATCACCGAAAGCTCACATGGCAATGATGCAGCGTGAGGGAGACGAATGTGAGTTCTTTACACTAAACAGTTGTTCAAAAACCAACGTTTTGGTTTGTGGAGCCATAATGATTTCAAACCCTCGGGCCAGTAGCGTAGGACGTAGGAATCCTCCAGGTATTCCGGTTCTCGAGACCTATCAATTTGTGCCATACCATTCTGATGAACAAGTTTCCGCCTCGGAAGCTATCAGGATGTGTGTTCAACTGGCTTTGGAGAATGCCCCCACTTTGTCTATAAATGTGACCGAAATTCACAGCGAACGAGTCCCGGTTGTGGCACACCTGTTTGGAGAAGCCATTGCGGATCTTCCTTTGGTCCAATCCAACTTGACTGTGCTTGCTAAAACAGAAATGGAACTGGATAATGTTAACGTAAAGTTGGATAAATTATCTGATCAATCCAATCTATTGTTTTTGATCACTGACAACAATTGGACCGATCCCAGTTTTCTCAAAGACGCTGCCGCTACTCTTGCGGAAGGTGGTTTCGTAATTGTTCGAGAAAGGGTTGATTTCAAGCATGACGAATTCAGTGTCCCGGAGGAGTTTAACTTAGTGACTACGTTCCGAGTAGATCAGGAAGAATTCTACATTTGTTTGCAGCGGAAGAGCAAGGTCCTCAACGACACGCCAGCAGTAATCCGAGTGGACTCAAACGAAATGAGCTGGCTAGCGGAACTGAAGCAAACTGTAAAGCTCCGACCAGTGATTCTGTACTCTCAGAACGATTCGGCTTCGGGGGTCATTGGCCTGGTGAACTGTATTCGCAAGGAGCCCAAAATGCAAACTGTCCGATGCGTGTTTATCGATGATCCCAAAGCTCCTGAGTTTACCCGGAACGATCCATTGTATAAGGATCAGTTGGACTTGGGCTTAGCGATCAATGTGTTACGGAATGGCGTTTGGGGCAGTTATCGACACGCACTGCTACCAAAACTGGCGATAACTGAGCCTGTGTCCAAGCATTGCTACGCAAATAGTCTTACCAAGGGAGATCTGTCTTCCATGATGTGGTTCACTGGAGCTTTCAATGAATGGGATGTGGTACCTAATAAGGTGAATATATCGTACTGTACCTTGAATTTCCGAGATGTGATGGTCGCTACGGGTAGATTGTCATCGGATGTGAGTTCGTACAATCGGTTGGAAGAGGAATGTGAACTCGGTTATGAATATGCGGGTGTAATGGATGATGGTAGACGAGTGATAGGAGTACTGCCAGCCGGAGCATTATCAACGGTTGTTAGTGCTGATCCGTATCTAGTTTGGACTATCCCGGATAGTTGGAGCTTGGAGGATGCGTGTACCGTTCCAATTGTGTACGGTACGGTATTGACGGCGTTCACCGTAAGTGCTCATGTCCGGAAGGGACAGTCAGTGTTGATCCACGCTGGTAGTGGAGGAGTAGGACTGGCTGCAATCAACATGGCCTTCGCATACGGTTTGGAAGTCTTTACCACAGTTGGTACGGAGGAGAAGGTCAAGTTTCTTTTGAATGAGTTTCCTGCACTGAAGCGGGAGAACATTGGCAATTCAAGAGATACGTCGTTTGAACAGATGATCAAACTGAGAACCAACGGAAGAGGTGTGGATTATGTGTTGAATTCGTTGGCCGAAGAGAAGTTACAGGCTTCGGTTAGGTGTCTGGCAAAGGGTGGTCACTTTTTGGAAATCGGTAAATATGATATGGCCAGGGATTCTCGACTGTCCATGCAGCTTTTCAAGAAAGGAATAACGTTTACAAGCGTTATGCTAGATGCAGCTATGAGAGAGTGCCCAGAGCTGAAGAAGGTATGTATCGAAAATTGAAAGCATGACAATTGGTTGATGATTCTTGTTGTATTCTAGAATGTAAATGAATTGCTTCGCACGGCAATACGAGATGGAGTTGTCAAGCCGCTGAAAACGACCGTTTTCGACGCTGGTGATTTGGAGAAGGCAATGAGATTCCTGGCTAGTGGCAAGCATACCGGGAAAATTGTGATCAAGCTTCGTGAAAACGAAACTGATGTTGAAACGTTGCCCATTTCTTACTTCCCAAAAGTCTATTGCAATCCAGATCAAGTGTACATAATCATCGGAGGCTTGGGAGGGTTCGGTTTGGAGTTGGCTGACTGGTTGGTGCTTCGAGGCTGCAAGAAGCTGGTATTCAGCTCTAGTCGTGGAATTACGAAGCCGTATCAACAATATCGAATCAAGTGAGTATGACTTTTTTTCAAAAGTGCATTGAATCAAAATCGTATTTCTAGGATTTGGAATAGCTACGGAGTTCACACCCATATCACTACAGCGGATATCACCACTATGGACGGGTGTCGTACGCTGCTGAAGGAAGCGTCTCGATTTGGTGTGGTAGCCGCAATCTACAACCTGGCAGTGCAGCTGCGTGACGCCATCCTGGAGAATCAGTCGGTGGAGAAGTTCGTGGAATGTATGGCACCGAAAGCGAAGGCTACCGAGTACTTGGACATAGTGAGCCGTCAAATGTGCCCTCAGTTGAAATACTTTGTAGTGTTCTCTAGCGTTTCCTGTGGTCGAGGAAATGCTGGTCAGAGCAACTACGGCATGGCCAATTCCATAATGGAGCGAATCATCGAGCGAAGAAGGTCGGATGGTCTTCCAGCGAAGGCAATTCAGTGGGGAGCGATTGGAGAGGTCGGGCTGGTCGCCGATATGGCTGAGGATAAGGTTGATATGGAAATCGGTGGAACACTGCAGCAAAGAATTTCGTCATGTTTGCAGGAGATGGACTATTTGTTGACATGTGAGGATCCTTTGGTGGCCAGTATGGTCGTTGCGGAGAAGCGGATGGGAAGTGGATCGAAGAACATCATCGAGGCAGTGATGAATATCATGAGCATCAGGGATCTGAAGTCGGTGTCGATGGAGAGTACTCTGGCCGATATAGGAATGGATTCGTTGATGGCGGTCGAAATCAAGCAGGTGTTGGAGAGAGACTTTGATATGGTGTTGTCTCCGCAGGAGTTGAGGACGTTGTCGTTTGCGAAATTACTGAAGATGGAAGAAGATAAGAAGCAAGCTGCGAAAGATAAGGAGTCGGGAGAGAGTAAAGGTTTGGTTATCGGTATGCAGATGTTGTTGAGAAATCTAGGCGATGAGGAAACTAGTGAAACGACGCTTTTGCGTTTGCCATCTGCCGGTGATGAAGGTCGTCCAATTCTGTTCATTCCTGGCGTTGAATGCGTTGCTGGTAATGTGTGGAAGACGATAGCAGAGCAAGTGAATGCTCCAGTATACATACTTCAGTTGTGCAGTGCGGTGGAGTGTGACAACATTCCAGCAATTGTTGAGTGCATCATTGGTGAGCTCTGTGGTGTTATGCTCAATGGCTACGATGACTTTGTAATTGCAGCGTATTCGTTTGGCGCGCTGGTGGGAATCGAGATAGCGAGATGCCTACAGACGAGAGGAATTCGAGGAAAGCTTCTTTTAGTAGATGGTGCTCCGAAGTACTTAAAGCTGTGGTCTGCCAAGCAGCTGGGTGAAAATCCACCGGATGAGGAAATCCAGAAGCTGATTATGCTAGTGTTGATTGCTATGGTGTTCCCGGATCAACCGGCAGAGAAAATGTTCGCCATCATGGAAGTTCCTTCGTTCGACGGCCAAATAGAGAAGCTGATCGAACTGGGCGCTGAACAGAGTACATACTCTGCTGATTATACTAGAATGATGACGAAAGCTCTGTGCAAGCGAATCAAGATGGCAGTGTATTTGTACTTGGACGAAGATCAGCCACTGGACCTTCCGATTACGCTGGTTCGACCGACTGAGGTTCCGTTCTCGGATATTGAGGATGATTATGGGCTCTCCAACTACACGACGGGTGAGATCACGCTTCGGATGATAGAAGGAACCCACTCGTCCATGTTGGAAAATCCCACGCTCGTGGAGATGATCAATGGTTTTATGTAATATGCTAAGGGCGTTTAACATTGTGCTGAGAGGATTTTTGTATTTCAATATTATACGTTTGTTGAAGCGTGCATCGATAAATAAAAATAAACTAGATATATTGCATCGGTGTGTTTAAACCAACATCTTCGAAAACCTTAGGGTTGAGTTCAGTTAACATTTTCAGCTACTTATAGTAAACTTTGTGCTGTGAAAAAGTTACAAATGCAGTTGCTTCCCTACTTCACATCCATTATTCAGCTGTTCAATTATATTGAACTAATAACAGCGGCGAAAAACGCTAATGTCACTTCATAAAATTAACGATGTGGTACAAATGTATATCTCTAGTCTAGAATAACAGAACAAAAGTGAAAGGGCAAAGGAACTGGGGAACTGTAAAACATTTGACTACTTCGCAAAAGCGTCAGGTGCGCTACTAGTCGCCAATGAAAATGATAGAGATTCTGTATCTTTTCCATATCGATTCCTATGAAATTGGCTACAGCTCAGGTTATTTTATAAATCTTCTTATTTTGGATTAATTACGTCCCCACTGGGACTTTTCACCACCTCTCAACTTAGTGTTCTTTGTGCACTATCACAGTTGTTATTAGAGAGTTTTCTAAGCCTGTATCATTTTTGCAACTCATTCGAATCGGAATCGAACTCAGCCGCCTCCAGCATGGTCTTGCTTTATAGCTGCATCTTTACCAACTGATTTAAGGGAGGCCCCATATACATCAATCGTACCTTAATTACTTGATGGGAAAATAGTTAGCTGAAGCGTTTTGACCTCATTGTTTTAAACGCATGCAATAAAAATAGGCTCCATACGACGAAACCGTCGCCCTTTGCATGTTATCTTGAAGTAAATGTGACCCCAGGAAATTTCCGCATTCATGATTATTCATCATGACGTTTCCTATGATATTTTTGCAAGCAGAAAATCTGCACTGTGTGCCTGGCTCAATTTTTGATATATTTTGAAATGCAAACAAAAAGTCCGACTTCAACAAATAACAAAATTCTACTGACAGCATGACCTTTGGCCCCATGTAGCCTGGTAGTAAGTGATCCTTTAACATCCACATTAACGAATACCGTTCCTACTTACACACTTCCATACACAAAAGATTTGCGTCATATCCAGGCCACTTCATAGTCAACATCCAATAATGCATTCAATTGATACACTCTTCGTGTACACGAGCGCCGATCGAAGTGAGGCACCTCCACTTGAATTCCCAATTCGGAATTAATTGCTGGGTCTGCCTGGGTCAGCACGTGACTGTGGCTACTATAAAATGACTAAGCGGTGCCTGTTGACGATCAAAATTGAACCGTTAAATGCCATCGCGAGAAATGGATCGGGTGAAAGTGTCGTAGTCCACAGCCGTACCAGCCGTAGCCAGTTACCTCTATGGCCGTACAGTCTATATGAAAGAGCAAGATCTGGTGGATGATCTGGAAACTAGATGAATGCACACACGATGCAGCGGCGAGAACTTTGATGCACATTTTGGCTAGACCGATTTCAATGGGATACGATGGATAATGAACATGTCTATGTGGTTGGCAATCTGAAGAGCGGTGGTTCACGGAAGTGTTACTTTTGTTTTGCTTGTTTCTTGAAATACAACTTTGTCTCAGGCGTCATTTAGAACAGAAGTGACATTTTCATGCTACAATTGATTGGAGATGTCAAAGACGTCGTTAAAAATATACAAGATTCAAAATAGCCTAATTTTAGCAAAAATTTGAATGATTGCCCATGACAAACACCCATGCCAAATTTCATGCAAATCGAAGATGGTCATTTTGCTTGGAACTGCTCTGCTGGTAATTTTAAATTCGATCAATGAATGTTGTTTATTTTATTTTTTTAATGTCCATCAGTTAAATAAACTATTTCAGAGGAACTTCATGGCTTTGAAGTAAAACTAGAAAAAGTAACCCCATTCCCATTCAAACATTGAACAATAACAACGTTTTAATTCTCCGATTGGGGAACATAATTCCTTTCCATGATGCGCATATTTTTTTGAAATAAATTTATATCGAAAATATTGGATCACGTTGGTTCCTTGCGATTGCCATTGCTGTTGAATTTTACTTGTTTTGATGATAAATGGATTCATTCAACACGACCACCACTGCGGCATCCACACTCTTTCTTAGTCAACAGTCGGTACAGGGTCGAATCTGGTCACCCAAAATTCGAACATCGAATTATTTGTCCACCGACCCCCAAAGAAAAATAAGCGGCATCAATACCAGTATCAGTTTTAAAGCTGAGCATAACCAGGATATCCTAAATTGATAGCTTCAAGGATTCGTTCTATGGGCCAGTCGATATGCAACATTTTATGATGCATATACGATGGAACGTAAGTGCAAAATAGCTTCTAATCGCACCAAATTGCCTATATTAAAATTTCAAATTCCATTTATCGGGTCATTCTGGGTCACAGGCTAGTCGACATCGATCACTATAAATTGAGCTGCGCAGAATAATCAAAGCTTAGTTGATTTCTTAAGCAGTGTGCTACGAAGCGTTATTGTGAGCCCATCGAAAATGCCGTCGCGTGAAATTCTTTCTGTCGGTACCGGTGAAAGTGTGGTAATTTCGGGTATAGCCGGACGATTTCCGCAGTCGGATAATATGCGCGATTTTGCTCGCAATTTGTACGAGAAACGTGACCTGGTGGATGATAAGGAAACCCGATTTAGCCATGCGATGCAAGCCATTCCAAGGCGGCTCGGAAAGATCAACAATTTGGAGAAATTCGACCGGGAGTTCTTCGGGTACAATCGACGACAACGGGATACGATGGACCCGCAGCAGTGGATGACGCTCGAGCATGCTTTCGAAGCTATACTGGATGCGGGAGTAAATCCGGAAAGTTTGCGTGGATCGCGGACGGGCGTGTTTTGCGGAGTATGCTTTTCGGAAGCTGGTGCACAGATGTACTACAATTCACTGGGTCATGCCGAGAAAGGGATGGGTTTGAACGCGTAAGATTCCGATTCGTTTAGATGAATTCTTTGTAACATAGGCTTCTTTTATAGTTTCAACAAGTCACTCATCGCGAATCGAGTTTCATATACGCTGGACTTGAAAGGACCCAGCTTCGTGATTGATACTGCCTGTAGCAGTTCAATGTATGCCTTTGATGTCGCTTATCGGAGCATGATGAATGGAGATTGTGATTCAGCAATTGTGACAGGTGCCAATCTAACGCTTCATCCTTTCATCACATATCAGTTTGCATTGTTGGGTGTGTTGGCAAAGGATGGTTTCTGCCGGCCATTCGATAAGGATGCTACGGGATACGCACGATCGGAAGCAGTTTGCGCAGTGTTTCTACAGAAGGCCAAGGCCGCAAAGCGTATCTATGCTCACGTCATCCACTCCAAAACGAACTGCGATGGTTTCAAAACCGAGGGAATAACCTACCCGTCCGGATTAGTTCAGCAGCAGTTGCTGCAAGAGTTCTACAAGGAAGTGAAAATCAGTCCTACGGAGGTAGATTACGTTGAAGCTCACAGTACAGGAACTGTTGTGGGAGATCCTGAAGAATGTGACGCTTTAGATAAAGTGTACTGCGCTGGAAGGGATGGACCTTTGCCCGTAGGTTCGGTGAAATCCAGTATAGGCCATACGGAAGGCTCAGCAGGAGTGTGTTCGATAGCAAAGTGCATCATCGCTATGGAAAATGACTTGATTCCTCCGAATATCAACTTCACTGAGTGCAGACCAGACATTCCTTCGTTGGTTGAAGGTCGATTAAAGGTGGTAACTGATACAATACCACTATCGGGTCCACTGGTTGGTATCAACTCGTTTGGATTTGGAGGGGCAAACGCCCACGCTTTGCTCTGTCGCAATTTGAAGGAGAAAAAGAATCACGGCGTACCGGAAGATGATCTCCCGCGGTTGGTTGTGTGGTCGGGAAGAACTAGAGAAGCTATTGAGTATATGTTTCAAGATATCACTCAGCGTCCCTTGGATGCTGAATTCATTGCACTTTTGTGCAATGTTGAAAAGCAAGGTATTCCAGGACATCGTTATCGAGGATTTGGAGTCTATCGTAAAGATGGTGAAAAATTAGCAATTCTAGAAGCATCCCGTATCGAGCGAGTTAAAATTGAGCCACTTCCAGTTGTTGCAATTTTTGGAGGAATCAACCTCAAATGGAGACAGGAACTGGATGTGCTTAAGCGGTTTCCTGTGGTGGAAGAAACTCTCACTAAATGCAATGGTGTCCTCCAATCGTTGAAGTTTGACCTGAACAAAAAGCTCTCAGGTAATAAGAGTATCCTGTACAACATGGTTGGATCGACTGTCCTTCAATTGTCGATCGTTGATCTGCTGAGCTCGATTGGAGTCGAATTCGATTTGTACGGAGGTCATTCGGTGGGACAGTTCACCTGTGCTTACATCGACCGTAGTTTGAATCTCGAACAGGTCCTTAGACTAGCTTTCTGGCATGGACTAGTGTATTCGGACTGTCAAGCAGTTTGTGATTATTCCGCCTTTGTTCGAATGAACTCCAAGTTAAACCAACTTCCTTCGAAGAATATTCTCATAGATGATGCAGCTACTTTTGGTATCATAGCTGGCACCGAAAAGCTTGTCATCGACCAAGTGCAACAGGTGACATCATCTGGCTTTTCAGCAGGGATTTTGTCTTTTCTTAATTTGCGGTCTGAACATGCATCGCTGTCTAACAAACTGCACCACACCGAGAATACCATTTTATCCAACGTCGTTGCTCCAACTAAGAAGTGGATAACTGGAATATTACCACAATCATCTTCAATTTTTAATTCGCCTATTTTGCACGAAGCATCATCCATCGTCAACCTGTTCGAAAAGATTCCCAGAAATACACACGTCGTGGAATTTGGTTGCTCGTTGTCCTGCAAGAACATTCTTCGAATGCTGAATCACAACTCAAGCTACCTTCCTTCAGGTTCAGAATCTACCGATGCAGTGGGTCTACTTTTGAGCAAAATCGGCCAGTAAGATGAACGAAATCTTCCACTTTGATTCTATTCTATTTTTGTCTTTCATTGTAGCTTACACCTGGCTTCACAGAACCTAGACATTGCGCAGCTGTACCCAAAGGTTCAGTTTCCAGTATCACGAGGAACACCAATGATCTCTCCATTGATTCGGTGGGACCACCGTGAAGATGCTTCCGTTGTAAAATATAGCTGGGAACAAACCAACAAGTGCAAAGTGTCTACCATCAATATTTCCCTGAACAACCAAGACTTCAAGTACATAGAAGGTCATAACATCGATGGACGAGTATTGTTCCCGGCTACGGGTTATCTGAAACTGGTTTGGGAACATGTCGCTTATCTTGAACATAATGATCTCGAGGATTTTGCGGTAGAATTCGAAGATATAAGATTCTTGCGAGCTACAACTATGACCAAAGGCCAGACCATTCAGTTTACAGTTTCAATTCAGACTGTGACAGGATTTTTTGAGGTATTGACACTGAGTGATTTCGTTGATGGAATATTAAAGTGAGATAGTTTATTTTCAGATCATGGAAGGAGACTCAGTTGTTGTGACTGGATACGTAAGGTCATTGAAGGAATGCATCAGTAATGATTTCAGTGATACAACGAGCTCTGCAGTGGTGCTTCCAACGAAGGACTTTTACAAGGAATTACGTCTAAGAGGATACTATTACTCGGGGCTATTTAAATCGGTTCGAGAATCCAGATCCGATGGAACAATGGCTAGGATTCAATGGAAAGATAATTGGGTTGCATTTCTGGATTGCTTGCTTCAAGTTGGCATCATTTCAGCTGACAGCCGGCTTTTGATGGTTCCGACAGCGATTGAGAAGCTTTCCATCTCACCAAGAGCTCATATGTCAATGATTGAGAAAAGCGGAGACGATTGCGAGTTTTTCACTATGAGGAGTTGCGTTGATACGAACACTTCGGTGTGTGGAGCTGTTGCCATCTGCAACCTTCGAGCTAGCAGCATCGGACGTAGGAGCCCTCCCGGCATTCCTGTTTTGGAGACTTATCAATTTGTTCCATATCATGCTGGAGAACAGGTCTCTTCATCGGAAGCCATCCGGATGATTGTTCAGCTGGCCCTGGAGAATGTTCCCACTTTGACAGTTAACGTTACAGAAATCTACGATGAGAGCCATCGACCAATCGTGCAGCTGTTTGGAGAAGCCATTGCGGACCTTCCTTTGGTTCAATCGAACCTGACACTTTTGAGTGTCAATGAAATGGAGTTGGACAACGTCACAGTAATAAAAGGGCGATTGTCCGACCAATCCAATCAATTGATCGTAGTACTAGATAGCAAAATGAATAATGCAGAATTTATTAAAGAGGCGGATGGAAGCCTTGAGGAAACTGGATTCATAATTGTCCGTGAAAAGATTGGCTGTAAGCGTGATGAATTTTGTAAACCAGAGGAGTTCAACTTGGTGGCTTCGTTCCAAGTAGATCAGGAATGCTTCATTTGCTTGCAACGGAAGAGCAAGGATCACAACCACACATCAGCAGTTATTCGAGTGGATTCAACTGATATGAGCTGGTTAGCGGAGCTGAAGCAGTTTTCTAAGCTTCGGTCTACAATTTTGTACTCCCAGAACGCTTCTGTTTCGGGAATCATTGGTCTGGTAAACTGCATTCGCAAGGAGCCGAAAATGCACTCTATCCGATGCGTGCTAATCGATGATCCAAAGGCTCCAGAATTCACGTTGAACGACCCATTCTACAAGAATCAGTTGAACTTGGGCTTAGCATTCAACGTGTTACGGAATGGCGTTTGGGGCAGTTATCGACACACACTGCTGCCAAAGCTAGCGATAACTGAGCCTGTGTCCAAGCATTGCTACGCAAATAGTCTTACGAAAGGAGATCTGTCTTCAATGATGTGGTTCACTGGAGCTTTCAATGAGTGGAATGAGATACCAAATAAGGTGAATGTATCGTACTGTACCTTGAATTTCCGAGATATCATGGTCGCTACTGGTAGATTGTCATCGGATGTGAGTTCATTCAATCGATTGGAAGAGGAATGTGAACTCGGCTATGAATATGCTGGTGTAATGGATGATGGTAGACGAGTGATAGGAGTTTTGCCATTTGGAGCATTATCAACAGTGGTTAATGCTGATCCTTATCTAGTCTGGGACATCCCGGATAGCTGGAGCTTGGAAGAAGCATGTACCGTTCCAATTGTGTACGGTACGGTATTGATGTCATTCACTTTATATGCTCACGTCCGGAAGGGACAGTCAGTGTTGATCCACGCTGGTAGTGGAGGAGTAGGACTGGCGGCAATCAACATGGCCTTCGCATACGGTATGGAAGTGTTTACCACAGTTGGTACGCAGGAGAAGGTCAAGTTTCTTTTGAGTGAGTTTCCTGCACTGAAGCGGGAGAACATTGGAAATTCAAGAGATACGTCGTTTGAACAGATGATCAAACTGAGAACCAACGGAAGAGGTGTGGATTATGTGTTGAATTCGTTGGCCGAAGAGAAGTTACAGGCTTCGGTTAGGTGTCTGGCAAAGGGTGGTCACTTTTTGGAAATCGGCAAATATGATATGGCGAGAGATTCTCAGTTGTCCATGGAATTATTTAAAAAAGGAATTACATTCTCGAGTGTTATGCTGGATTTAGCAATGAGAGATTCTGTGGTAATGAAGAAGGTTTGTAAGGACAGCATACATCATGGTTACTTGTGTTAAACGCGTATTTCATTTCAGATTTTGAATGCTGGAATCCAAAACGCAATTCAAACGGGAGTTATCAAACCATTGAAAACATCTGTGTTTGATGCTGGTGATTTAACGAAGGCAATGAGATTCATGGCAAGTGGCAAGCATACCGGCAAAATTGTGATCAAGCTTCGTGAAAACGAAACTGATGTTGAAACGTTGCCCATTTCTTACTTCCCAAAAGTCTATTGCAATCCAGATCGAGTGTACATAATCATCGGAGGCTTGGGAGGATTCGGTTTGGAGTTGGCTGATTGGTTGGTGCTTCGAGGCTGCAAGAAGCTGGTCTTCAGCTCTAGTCGTGGAATTACGAAACCGTATCAACAATACCGAATCAAGTGAGTAAAATTCCTTTTATTTAGAGGCCACTGATTCACAATCTCATTTCCAGGATTTGGAATAGCTACGGAGTTCACACCCATGTCTGCACTGCGGATATCACCACTTTGGACGGGTGTCGTGCGCTGTTGAACGAAGCGTCTCGATTAGGTACGGTAGCCGCAATCTTCAACCTGGCAGTGCAGTTGCGTGACGCCATATTGGAGAATCAGTCTGTGGAAAAGTTCGTGGAATGTATGGCACCGAAAGCGAAGGCTACCGAGTACTTTGACAAAGTGAGCCGTCAAATGTGCCCTCAGCTGAAACACTTTGTAGTGTTCTCTAGCGTTTCCTGTGGTCGAGGAAATGCTGGTCAGAGCAACTACGGCATGGCCAATTCCGTAATGGAGCAAATAATTGAACGAAGATGTGCAGAAGGCCTCCCTGGAAAAGCAATTCAGTGGGGAGCGATTGGAGAGGTCGGGCTGGTCGCCGATATGGCTGAAGATAAGCTTGATCTGGAAATCGGTGGAACTCTGCAACAAAGAATTTCATCATGCCTGCAGGAGATGGACTATTTGTTGACATGCGAGGATCCTTTGGTGGCCAGTATGGTCGTTGCGGAGAAGCGGATGGGAAGTGGATCGAAGAACATCATCGAGGCAGTGATGAATATCATGAGCATCAGAGATTTGAAGTCGGTGTCGATGGAGAGTACTCTGGCCGATATAGGAATGGATTCGTTAATGGCGGTCGAAATCAAGCAGGTGTTGGAGAGAGACTTCGACATGGTGCTGACCCCGCAGGAGTTGAGGACGTTGTCGTTTGCGAAATTAATGAAGATGGTCGAAGAAATGAAGCACGATGATAAATATAAAAATGACAATGAAGGGGAAGGCTTGGTTATCGGTATGCAGATGCTACTGAGAAATCTAGGCAATGAGGAAACTAGTGAAACGACGCTCTTGCGATTGCCATCTGCCAGTGATGAAGGTCGTCCCATTCTTTTGATTCCTGGCGTTGAAGGCGTTGCTGGTGATGTATGGAAATTGATAGCAGAGCAAGTGAAGGCTCCAGTTTACATCCTTCAGTTATTTGGAACTCTGGAGTGCAAGACCGTTCCAGCAATTGTTGAGCGCATTATGAATGAACTGTGTCGTGTTCTGCTCAATGGCTACGATGACTTTGCCATTGCAGCGTATTCCTTTGGTTCGCTGGTGGGAATAGAGATTGTGAGATGTCTGCAGACAAGAGGAATTCGTGGGAAACTTCTCCTGCTGGATGGGGCTCCGAAGTACTTGAAACTTTGGTCGCAGAAACAACTGCACGGTAATCCAACTGATGTGGAAATTCAGAAGTTGGTTGTGCTCGTATCGATTGCTATTGTATTTCCCGATCAACCTGGTGAGAAAGTAAGTTCTATTTTGGAGATTCCATCGTTCGAAGGTCAGATAGAGAAGCTTATCGAGCTAGGAATCAAGCAGAGTGCGTACTCTGCAGATTATACAAGAAAGATGACGAAAGCTCTGTGCAAAAGAATCAAGATGGCGGCACTGTTAAACCTGGATGAGGATCAACCGTTGGATCTACCGATCATGCTGGTTCGACCGACTGAGGCGCCTTTTTCGGATATTGAAGACGATTACGGGCTATCCAATTATACGACGGGACTTATCACGCTTCGAATGGTGGAGGGAACTCATGCGACGATGTTGGAGAATCCCGATACGGTGAAAATGATTAATGACTTGAACTTGTAATCTATTGTTGTCGTTTGGAACAATGTTTTTTTTTGTATCATCGATTAAAAGGTTTTTTTTTTTGAAGTTAAGCTTATCAAATTATTTATTTTCATTAAATACACCCAACCGGGGGATGTAAGATTCGCTTACAATTATGAGGGATTCATCATCAGAGGATGTTAGTGGAGACCGCATGAATCGAGGATGCGATATACCTAGCTGCGGTTCAATGCAATAAAATTGGAGACCGAAAAATGTGGAGTGTATTAGTGAGTGAAATGAATTATGCCGAAAACACACAAGGAAATTTGCCGACTGGACTCGAACCACGAACGTTGCGATTATCAAACCTGCGCTTTCTCCACTGCTCTCTCCATGCTTCTGATTATGGATAGCCTAAAAGCAAACAGGAAGCGCTCAGTTCCTCTCATACTCGACTTCGTATGCTTTTTCTGCTGGAGAGATTCGAGGCAAGTGTGTGCGTCGTTCTACCATGTTATACATAAAAAGCTTACTGGTATAGTCGAAAGCGTAGATTTTACACGAAACAAAAAAGACAAAAAAACCGTGACATCACTTGCAAGGTCAACTTCTAACATTCGCTGCGATGTTCATGAACAGAGGATGAAAGGAAGTGGAACTAACATTCATTGTAATAAATTTTTCGTTTGCGTGTGGTTTTGTTAGTTTCAGGTTAATGCACAAAACAAAAATAAAATAGGGTAAATAGATTGTTGTACGTCTGACAATAAAACCAATTTTATCACAACAATGACAAACAGCAAACAATAATTTTGATATCACATCAAAGTGGATGCACTTCAATCGTGTCGAAAATGACAAGATTATCATTAATATAGTGCATAAACTGACATTACGCTACTTTCACTGCATTTGTTTATTTTTGTGGCCATAAACATTTCATGAGATTTTCGACATGATTGAAGTGCATCCTCTTGGATGTAATATCAAAATTAGTTTTTTGGCTGTGCAGGCTTGTCTATGACTGATCGAAGTAGGCCGCGCAGCGAAAATGACGGATTTTTGTTTTGCTGTGGAATGATTGTACGCAGTCTGGCGCAAAATGATGTACCTAGTTCTTCGGACAGGCATCAGGATGTGCGCTGACAATTCGATTTAGGAGAATCCATGGCGAGACTTGGTGGAGATTTACGTTTGTGTTTTGAAAATAATTTGATTATATTGGGGCAACATCAATAACAAATTTTGACATATTCACACTGCGCAGTTCAGTGCTGCCAGTAACTTTAAAGATCGGAAAAATTGTAACCATGTGTGCCAAACAGTGCCAATGACTGTGCCCAGGTGTGCCCAAGCTTGTTTCTGGCACACTGGAGTGACCATCCCTTTGGCGTCCGTTTAGTTCTTACAAAAAATTAAAATACCGTGAACGTGGAACAGCTTGACAATCAATTTGATATTATTCATGCAAATGGTTAAGATTATATATATGTATTATTATGTTCCCTTATGTATGTTCTGTGAAAATGTCAAAAACTTACAGTTTTTTGTTGATAATAAAAGACAGAACAAAAATAAATTGAACGAGTGGTTCTCAACACGTCATCTTCATAGAGTCTGTTAGTTTCAAGCTAAGATCCTACCTCGTAAATAACTATTTGGTTCCTCATTTAACATTAATATTTTGAAGTGAAAAGGTGTTGAACAGGTAAAAACAAATGTTCACTGCCATTTTCATGTCAAATTCATCAGAAATTAGCCACATTGTTTTAATTGTAGAAATAGTTGTGCGAGGAAAAAGGAGCAACAGATATGTTGGTGTTCAAATTTCCGCTCATGGAGTAAGAACTATCTCCATATAGAATTTCATGCACTATACCGCCGAAAGCTTTAAAGACGCTCTGGAAAAGGTGAGGAAATATTCAATGCATAATGTAGCAAATCTGGATATTGTTGGGTATTTGACAGTATTTCTAAAACCAATGGCCACCATTTTGGATTCAAAAATGGCATCCTACATCAATTTTCGACCCCTGCAAGTCGTCTCCGTTCCGGAAATATCCATATTGAAGGATATTTGATAGTTTTTCTAAAACAGATATGACGGACATCTGTTTCCAAAACGGCGTCCAGCATCGATTTTTGGCCTCTGGGTACACGTCACCACTGTTCCGAAGATACTCACTTTGCACAGAAACATACTATACGGGGTAAGCTTTGAGACATAGCATATTCAGCAAGTTTGCATGTACGCTAGCGCCAAGTAGTGAGAGAGTTCTGAGCTAATATGATCACCATCCGGAATACCATGGTCATCTGAACAACTTAGCTGGAGACAGTAACCTTATATATAGCCAAGATTTCAAGATACAGCTTATTCAGGAAGTTTGTATGCTCACTAGCACCACGTAGTGAGAGGACTCTGATCTATAATGACCAGCATCCGAAAGTACTTGGTCATCTAAACAACTTTGCCGAAGACAGTATTCTTTTATATGGCCATAATCCGGAGATATTCTATGTTGGACCCGAATGTCATATATTATAGCACCCGTCATAAGTAATATGAAAGCGAAGCGCCTCTAGCGGCATGGTTCTCAATGGAACCTAGATCCAATGGCACAAGCTTGTTGATCCAACCCAGTTCAACAACTTCGTCCAAGACAGTATACCTTTTCGTATTGAAACTAATGACATTTCGGTTGAATAAAAGTGCGTTGAATTAAGTGCACTGTTGAGTAAACGGGTGGACAATGCGTACCATTGATACTTCGCGTATCTGCAGGTATAAAATAGACCCCACTAGCGGTCCTTAGCATCTTATCCTATCTTATGGGGTACGAGTAACCATAGGGAAGATCGGGTAGCCAACCCCGGTGGGACCTTGGTCGTATGCTTACAGGGAAGGGGAGGGGGGGAAGAACTCCTCTCTCCGGAGAGTGCAGTCTTCGAGCGTCTGTTTACCATGGAGGTGCGGCTCAAAACGGCGTCTGTTCTCCATGTTAGGAGCGGCTAATCAAAGTCCTGGGCCAGCGTGGGACTCTAAACAGTGCTGTGGGGGTTGGTGCAAGCCCTACAAGCCAGCCGTAAAAAACAAAAGTATAGGAAGCAAGCAATGTAAATGCGGACCGGAACAATCGGCATAGACCCAAGCAACGGAAACGGACTAACGATTGGAAACTCGGAACATGGAACTGCAAGTTTCTCAATTTCTTGGGAAGTACCCGCATTCTTTCCGATTTATTGAGGGTCCGCAAGTTCGACATCGTAGCGCTGCAGGAGGTTTGCTGGAAGGGATCGTCGGTACATACGTATAGGGATGGTTATACCATCTACTAGAGCTGCGGCAATACACATGAGCTGGTTACAGCTTTCATCGTGATGGGCGGAAGCGCGTGATTGAGTGGTGGCCAATCGATAGCAGAATGTGCAAGTTGGGGATCAAAGGCCGTTTCTTCAATATCAGCATAATCAACGTGCACAGCCCTCACTTAGCAAGTGACGATGACGATGAAGACGCTTTTTACGCGTACCTGGAACGGGAATACGACAGCTGCCCAAGCCATGACGTCAAAATCGTCATCGGTGATCTTAACGCTCAGGTCGGCCAGGAGGAGGAATTCAGACCGGTTATAGGAAAGTTCAGCGCTCACCAGCTAACGAACGCCAACGGCCTTAGACTCATCGATTTCGCTGCCTCTCATATCGCTGCCTCCCATATCGGTACACCTGAAGATCACCGCAGCAGACAGAATCGCAAATCGACCATGTTTTGATCGACGGAAGGCACTTCTCGGACATTATCGCCGTCAGGCCTATCGCGACGCAAATATCGATTCGGACCACTACCTTCTAATGGTCAAGGTGCACCAAAAACTTTCCGGTGCCAACAACATTTGCGGGCGTTGGTACAATCTGGAGCGACTGGAGCTGCCCGAAGTCGCAACTGAGTACGTGCAATGCCTCAACGCAGCGTTGCCGGATGAGGGAGAGCTCACTGATGCCCCTCTTGAGGACTGCTGGAGCAGCGATTGGTTCGACGAAGAGTGTCAGACGGTTTTGGACGATAAGAACGCAGCAAGGAACCCGTCATAATGTGGAGCAATATAAACAGAAGCGAAGACAGCAAACCCATATTTTCCCGGATAAGAAGCGCCGCCTGGAAGAGCTGGAGCAGCTGTATCGATCTCAAGAAACACGTAAGTTCTACAAGAAACTCAACGCATCCCGCCAAGGCTTTGTGCTGCGAGCCGAAATGTGTCGGGATAAGGAAGGGGGTATCTTAACGGACGAACGTGAGGTGATTGAAAGATGGAAGCAGCACTACGATGAACATCTGAACGGTACAGTGGCGGAGGGCCAAGGCGGTACAGCGGATGAGGGGGGCATGCCAGCTCCCACAAGAACAACAAAGCAGCTGGGAAAGATGATATCGGAGCGGAACTTATCAAAATGGATAAGTCAGGATAGTCAGGATCTGGGATACAGAACAGCTACCGGAGGAGTGGAAAGAGGGAGTAATATTCCCAGTGTATAAAAAAGGTGACAGACTAGAATGTGAGAACTATCGAGCGATCACTACTCTTACCGCGGCCTACAAAGTGCTTTCCCAGATCATCTTTCGCCGTTTATCGCCGCTAGCAAGCAGATTTGTGGGAAGTTATCAAGCCGGTTTTGTGGACGGGTGATCGATAACGGACGAAATTTTACGTTGCGGCAGATTCTCCAAAAGAGTCGTGAATATCAAGTCCCTACGCACCACCTATTCGTCGATTTCAAGGCTGCTTATGATACTATTGACCGTGAAGAGCTATGGAAGATTATGGACGAGAACGGTTTTCCCGGGAAGCTGACCAGCTTGATCAGGGCTACGATGGATGATGTACAGTGCTGCGTGAAGATATCGGGTGCGTTATCGGACTCGTTTGAAACTCGCAAAGGACTTCGACAAGGCGATGGTCTTTCCTGCCTCCTGTTCAACATTGCGCTAGAAGGTGTTATGAAACGTTGCGGGCACGATCTTCAATAAGTCCAGCCAGTTCATCTGCTTCGCTGACGACGTGTAAATTGTCGGAAGAACGTTTGTTTCAGGCTGAAACGTGAAGCAGAGAAGGTTGGAGTAAAGGTGAATACGTTCAAAGTATCTGTTAGCTGTTATCTGTTGTGTACCTCGGATCATTGGTGACGTCGGATAACAACTGCAGCAAAGAAATTCGTCGGCGTATTATTGCCGGAAGTCGTGCTTACTGTGGACTCAACAAAACCCTGAGGTCGGGTAAACTTTACCTCCGTACTAAATGTACCATGTACAAGACACTGATCAGACCGATAGTTCTCTAAGGGCACGAGACGTGGACGATGCTCGAGGAGGACCTGCAAGCACTGGGTGTTTTCGAATGACGAGTGCTTAGGATCATCTTTGGCGGGGTATGTGAGAACGGTGTATGGAGGCGAAGGATGAACCATGAGTTGGCGCAACTCTATGGCGAACCCTGTATCCGCGGGCGGGACATGTTTTAAGAATGCCAGACAACAATCCCGCAAAAATGGTGTTTGCCTCGAATCCGGCCGGTACAAGACGCAGAGGAGCACAGCGAGCAAGGTGGTTAGACCAAGTGGAGCAGGATCTTGGAAGTGTGGGACGATCAAAAAATTGAAGATAAGCAGCCATGCAATTGGTGTAACATTGTGATGCAGGTGCAATCCTGAGGGATGTCGGATCAGGATAAGTACCGTATTTATGCGTGATAATGTTTGCACCATCGTACAAATAAGGTTCCCGTTCACCTGTGCATACAATGCCTTGGTTTTTTTGCATGCACGTAACCTATAGCTCATACAGTAGTAGGCTGTGTATAAAATAAAACGATTTACTCAGTTTGACAGTTGCACCATGACGAAGTGGCAGCGTATTGGTGATTTGTCCCACGCGCAAATGTCGCAAAAAGGCATTTCAATCGCCGTGGGTGTGTCCGGTGGACCGTCAAAAGGGTTTTAGACCGAGAAAAGAAAAGACAACTATTCGCGAAGGTGGCCAAAGGTGGTCCGTGGTCAGCTCGGGTTCCGAGGGTTATCGCTGCTATCAAAAGGAAGATTCGGGTGAATCCAGTCCGCGTTTAATAAGGAAAATGGCAAAGGAACACGGGATCAGTGACTTTACGGCACGGAAGATCGTAAAGGAAGATTGCGGGGCGAAGTGGAGGGCACGGAAAAAAAAACTCACATGATTACCAACCGCATCCGGGAGCTACGAGTCGAACGATGTAAGAAAATCTTGAACTTCCTTAAGCGAAAAAATCCGGTAATCCTGTTCACCGACAAGAGCATGTTTACCGTCAAATTCCAGAACCGACCGGTATATTAGTTCTCTTCCGGTAAAAGACGTGGCCGACAAGCACAAGAACGTGTATCTGACAAAGCATCCTGCTAGCATTATGGTGTTTGGATTGGTGGCTTCCGATGGCAAAAAAATAGACCCGGTGTTCATTCCAGAAGGTGACAAGGTCAACACGGAGGTCTACATTGGGATTTTAAGTATGTTCTTCCGTGGATCAAAGAACAGTACGGTCCGAAGCCAAATGTTGTATTTCAACAAGATGGGGCTTCGCGCCACACCTCGAACCACACTCAGAAGTTCTGGGCGAAGGATATGTGGCCACCATCCAGCCCGATCTTAATCCGCTGGATAACTCAATATGGCGCGTCATGAAGGCCAAGGCCTGATCTAAACGCCTCCCGAGTACAGCAAGCCTCAGACAAACATTGACCCGTACCTGGAGAGAAATGGATCCAGAATATATTATTAGAACCTGCCGTGCATTCCAGAAGCGTGTGGAGGGCGTAATTGCAGCAAGTGAAAACTCGATCGATGATTGACGATTTGAATTAATAAAAAAAAACACGAAAACGAAATTTTTGAGATTTTTTTTAAATTTTGAATGGTGCAAACATTATCACACATACGGTAAGTAAGCGAGTGAAATTACAAACAGCGCTCGAATCAGTTTACGAGGCAAATATTGTTATTTCGGAATTGATTTATTCAAACCTTATATATTTGTTAATGGAAAAACGTTAAAAAATCTCTCAAATGATACATTTGACGGAAAATTTTCCCTTCTTCCCAAGTTTCTGTAGATAAAAAGACTTTAGTCTCGCGTTAAGTGCGTGGAATAACCCACCTTCACGGTAACCCTTCATCCATTACCATTTTTCGCACAGACTCATATTTTGGGGTTATGAATCAAACTGGAGGGTGACCTATAAGTTTAATTTTTTTTTTCAAAATGAAGTATCCTTACGTGGATCCTGCGATGGACCGAGAAGCTACAACGAAAATCATTCTACTCCTTGGACTACAAACAGCTACATCCATGCCAAGGAGGGAACACGGCGGTGAAAGAGGTCAGTGATAACGTGGAGAAGCCGTTCGAGATTTCAAGAAATCTAAGTACATCGTAGGAGTTTTAATCTGTAAAAAGGTTCAGACCTTATCATACCAGCTAGATAAAACCAAATTTTGGATATAAGATAAGCTCATTTTAGAAAGAATTGAAAATTTGACTTCTGAAATTACGAATTTAGTGAGCTTATGAGATTGCTCATAGAGTATAGAACTGGAACATCCTTACAACGATCTGCTTCCAGGAATATCACCGTCTACATAGTAGCAAAGGTCACATCTATCAAGCTACGACTAGCACTAAAGCATATTTTCGTAATATTATACAATTTGATAAATCTAGACCTATTAGTCAATAAGTTAAAGTTCACCGTTCGGTGTTAAATGAAGTGTTCTGATATTTTTTTTCTGAAAGGGCCGTAATACGTTTGTAAACCATGTCGTCATGCGTTAATTTCACACATTAATTACAGAGGAAGATCTCTTCTTATTGGATCCGGTTTTTGGATTCCACGGACACGGACACGGATTCCGGTTTTTGATTCACACATATTGAACGGTCATGAAAGCCATTAGGCTCTTTTGAAATAATGGATTGAAATTAACACAATCCGAAAGAGGGAAAACTGAATAAATGCAGGATCAAGCGCAGTAGTTGTGCAACAATCTATAAACTATCGTTCTACAGTGCAACGTTGTTTCTATTCGCCCGATAATGCATACATTATAATTTGATATTCAAATCGTCGTGTCATCCCGGGTCATGTTTTCGTTATAAATTGAGCTGTTGGGAACAATCGATCCTCAGTTGATTACCGTAATCAATCGTGGCTACTAATTTAGCCAGTGTTATCCGCAAAGTGTTATCCGTAAGTTCAATATGCCGTCACGTGAAATTCTCTCTGTTGGAACCGGTGAAAGTGTGGTAATTTCGGGAATAGCCGGACGATTTCCGCAATCGGACAACGTGCGAGAGTTTGCTCGTAATTTGTACGAGAAGCGTGACCTCGTTGATGATAAGGAAACCCGATGGAAGCACACTATGCGAGTAATACCACGGCGTCTCGGAAAGATCAACAATTTGGAGAAATTCGACCGAGAGTTCTTCGGGTACGATCGACGACAACGGGATACGATGGATCCGCAGCAGTGGATGACGCTCGAGCATGCTTTCGAAGCCGTTCTGGATGCGGGTGTCAACCCGGAAATTCTGCGTGGATCTCGGACGGGCGTATTTTGCGGCGTATGCTTTTCGGAAGTTGGTGCACGAATGTACTGCGGTACTTTGGGCTATGCTGAAAAAGGGATGGGTTTGTCAGGGTGAGATTTGTGTTTTCAAGGAATTATCCGTATGTAATTATTATCAAGGATTTGTTTCAAGGTACGTGAAGTCGCTCATTGCACATCGAGTGTCCTATATGATGGATTTGAAAGGACCCAGCTTTGTTATTGATACTGCCTGCAGCAGTTCAATGTATGCCTTAGATGTCGCTTATCGGAGCATGATGAACGGAGATTGTGATGCGGCAATTGTGACAGGCTCCAATCTAACGCTTCATCCTTTCATCACATATCAGTTTGCATTGTTGGGTGTGTTGGCAAAGGATGGTTTCTGCCGGCCATTCGATAAGGATGCTACGGGATACGCGCGATCGGAAGCAGTTTGCGCAGTGTTTCTACAGAAGGCCAAGGACGCAAAGCGTATTTACGGTCATGTCATCCACTCCAAAACGAATTGCGATGGCTTTAAATCGGAAGGAATAACCTACCCATCGGGATTAATGCAGCAGCAGCTGCTAACAGAATTCTACGATGAAGTGGGAATCAGTCCTACTGAGGTGGATTACGTTGAGGCGCATAGCACGGGCACATTTGTGGGAGATCCTGAGGAATGCAACGCTATTGATAAAGTATATTGTACAGGACGAGATGGACCTCTGCTTGTAGGTTCGGTGAAGTCCAGTATAGGTCATTCGGAAGCCTCAGCAGGAGTATGTTCAATAGCGAAGTGCATTATCGCCATGGAAAATGATATGATTCCTCCGAATATCAATTTCACCGAGTACAGACCAACCATTCCTTCGTTGGCCGAGGGTCGTTTGAAGGTGGTTTCAGATACAATGCCACTATTGGGACCATTGATTGGTATCAACTCGTTTGGATTTGGAGGAGCAAACGCCCACGCTTTGCTTTGTCGCAATTTGAAGGAGAAAAAGAATCACGGCGTACCGGAAGATGATCTCCCGCGGTTGGTTGTGTGGTCGGGAAGAACTAGGGAAGCTATTGAGTATATGTTTCAAGATATCACTCAGCGTCCCTTGGATGCTGAATTCATTGCACTTTTGTGCAATGTTGAAAAGCAAGGTATTCCAGGACATCGTTATCGAGGATTTGGAGTCTATCGTAAAGATGGTGAAAAATTAGCAATACTAGAGGCATCCCGTATCGAGCGAGTCAAAATTGAGCCACTTCCGGTTGTTGCAGTTTTTGGAGGAATCAACCTTAAATGGAGACAGGAGCTTCATGCACTTAAGAGATTTTCAGTGGTGGAAAAAACTTTCACTAAATGCAATGGTGTCCTCCAAACGCTGAAGTTTGACCTGAACAAAAAGCTCTCAGGTAATAAGAGCATCCTGTACAACATGGTTGGATCGACTGTCCTTCAATTGTCGATCGTTGATCTGCTGAGCTCGGTTGGAGTCAAATTCGATTTGTACGGAGGTCATTCGGTGGGACAGTTCACCTGTGCTTACATCGACCGTAGTTTGAACCTCGAACAGGTCCTTAGACTAGCTTTCTGGCATGGACTAGTGTATTCGGACTGTCAAGCAGTTTGTGATTATTCCGCCTTTGTTCGAATGACCTCCAAGTTAAACCAACTTCCTTTGAAGAACATTTTCAAGGATAATGCATCTACGTTTGGTATTATTGTGGGGACTGAAGATACTGTTATCGAACAGATTCATCAATTTAAAGCAACGGGATTTTCAGCAGAACTGCTGTCCTATCTTAGTTTCCACTCCATACATCCGTGGACTAAATCACTGCCTAGCAATTTACGCCAAACTGTGAATACCGTTTTATCTAGAGTTGTTGTTCCAACTAACAAGTGGATAACTGGAACATTGCCACAAACCTCTTCTATATTCCATTCTCCGAATTTACACAATGAAGCATCCATCGTTAACTTATTCGAGAAGATTCCCAAACATACTCACGTCATAGAATTTGGTTGTTCGTTGTCCTGCAAGCACATTCTTCGGATGCTGAATCGCAACTCAAGCTACCTTCCTTCAGGTTCAGAATCTACCGATGCAGTGGGTCTACTTTTGAGCAAAATCGGCCAGTAAGTTGAATGAAATCTTCCAATTTGATTCTATTCTATTTTTGTCTTAATATTGTAGCTTACACCTGGCTTCACAGAACCTAGACATTGCACGGCTATACCCAAAGGTTCAGTTTCCAGTATCACGAGGAACACCAATGATCTCTCCATTGATTCGGTGGGATCACCGTGAAGATGCATTTGTGGTCAAATACAACTGGGAACAAACCAACAAGTCCAGGGCATATACCATCAATATTTCCCTGAACAACCAAGACTTCAAGTACATAGAGGGTCATAACATCGATGGACGAGTGTTGTTCCCGGCTACGGGATATCTGAAACTGGTTTGGGAACATGTCGCTTATCTTGAACATAATGATCTCGAGGATTTTGCGGTAGAATTCGAAGATATAAGATTCTTGCGAGCTACAACTATGACCAAAGGTCAGACCATTCAGTTTACAGTTTCAATTCAGACTGTGACAGGGTTTTTTGAGGTATTGACACTGAGTGATTTCGTTAATGGAATATTAATGAGAGATAGTTTATTTTCAGATCGTGGAAGGAGACTCAGTTGTTGTGACTGGATTCGTAAGGTCATTGAAGGAATGCATCAATAATGATTTCAGCGATACAGCGAGCTCTGCAGTGGTGCTTCCAACAAAGGACTTTTACAAGGAATTACGTCTAAGAGGATACTATTACTCGGGGCTATTTAAATCGGTTCTGGAGGCTAGATCCGACGGAATGATGGCAAAGATTCAATGGAAAGATAATTGGGTAGCATTTCTGGATTGCTTGCTTCAAGTTGGCATTATTGCAGCTGACAGCCGGCTTCTGATGGTTCCAACAGCTATTGAGAAGCTTTCTATCTCACCAAGAGCTCATATATCAATGATTGAGAAAAGCGGAGACGATTGCGAGTTTTTCACTGTGAGGAGTTGCGTTGATACGAATACTTTGGTGTGTGGAGCTGTTGCCATTTGCAACCTTCGAGCTAGCAGCATCGGACGTAGGAACCCTCCCGGCATTCCTGTTTTAGAGACCTATCAATTTGTTCCATATCATGCTGGAGAACAGGTCTCTTCATCGGAAGCCATCCGGATGATTGTTCAGCTGGCCTTGGAGAATGTTCCCACTTTGACAGTTAACGTGACAGAAATCTACGATGACAGCCATCGACCAATCGTGCAGCTGTTTGGAGAAGCCATTGCGGATCTTCCTTTGGTTCAATCGAACCTGACGCTTTTGAGTGTCAATGAAATGGAGTTGGACAACGTCACAGTAAAAAATGAGCGATTGTCTGACCAATCCAATCAATTGATCGTAGTACTCGATAGCAAAATGAATAATGCAGAATTTCTTAAAGAGGTCGATGAAAGCCTTGAGGAAACTGGATTCATAATAGTCCGTGAAAGGATTGGTTGTAAGCGTGATGAATTTTGTAAACCAGAGGAGTTCAACATGGTGGCTTCATTCCAAGTAGATCAGGAGGAATCCTTCATTTGCTTGCAGCGAAAGAGCAAAGGCCACAACGAAACACCAGAAATTATTCGGGTGGATTCAACTGATATGAGCTGGTTAGCGGAGCTGAAGCAGTTTTCTAAGCTTCGGTCTACGATTTTGTACTCGCAGATCGATTCTGTCTCGGGAGTCATTGGTCTGGTGAACTGCATTCGCAAAGAGCCAAAAATGCACTCTATCCGATGCGTATTAATCGATGATCCAAAGGCTCCAGAATTCACAGTGAACGACCCATTCTACAAGAATCAATTGGACTTGGGCTTAGCATTCAACATATTATTAAATGGCGTATGGGGCAGTTATCGACACACACTGCTGCCAAAGATGGCCAAAACTGAGCCTGTGTCCAAGCATTGCTACGCAAATAGTCTTACCAAGGGAGATCTGTCTTCTATAATGTGGTTCACTGGGGCTTTCAATGAATGGGATGTGGTACCAAATAAGGTGAATGTATCGTACTGTACCTTGAATTTTCGAGATGTGATGGTCGCTACGGGTAGATTGTCATCGGATGTGAGTTCATTTAACCGGTTGGAAGGGGAATGTGAACTCGGCTATGAATATGCGGGTGTGACGGATGATGGTAGACGAGTGATAGGAGTACTGCCAGCCGGAGCATTATCAACGGTTGTTAGTGCTGATCCTTATCTAGTTTGGACTATCCCGGATAGTTGGAGCTTGGAAGATGCGTGTACCGTTCCAATTGTGTACGGTACGGTATTGACGGCGTTCACCGTAAGTGCTCACGTCCGGAAGGGACAGTCAGTGTTGATCCATGCTGGTAGCGGAGGAGTAGGACTGGCGGCAATCAACATGGCCTTCGCATACGGTTTGGAAGTGTTTACCACAGTTGGTACGGAGGAGAAGGTCAAGTTTCTTTTGAGTGAGTTTCCTGCACTGAAGCCGGAGAACATTGGAAATTCAAGAGATTTGTCGTTTGAACAGATGATCAAACTGAGAACCAACGGAAGAGGTGTGGATTATGTGTTGAATTCGTTGGCCGAAGAGAAGTTACAGGCTTCGGTTAGGTGTCTAGCAAATGGTGGTCACTTTTTGGAAATCGGTAAATATGATATGGCCAGGGATTCCCGACTGTCCATGCAGCTTTTCAAGAAAGGAATAACGTTTACAAGCGTTATGCTGGATGCGGCAATGAGAGACAGCCCAGAGCTGAAGAAGGTGTGTATGAAAAATTGAAGGCATTCTAATTGGTTGATAGTTCTTGTTGTATTCTAGAATGTAAATGATTTGCTTCGTACGGCAATACAAGATGGAGTTGTCAAGCCTCTGAAAACGACCGTTTTTGACGCTCGTGATTTGGAGAAGGCAATGAGATTCCTGGCAAGTGGAAAACATACTGGAAAAATTGTGATCAAGCTTCGTGAAAATGAAACTGATGTTGAAACGTTGCCCATTTCTTATTTCCCAAAAGTCTTTTGCAATCCAGACCAAGTGTACATAATCATCGGAGGCTTGGGAGGGTTCGGTTTGGAGTTGACTGACTGGTTGGTGCTTCGAGGCTGCAAGAAGCTGGTCTTCAGCTCTAGTCGTGGAATTACGAAGCCGTATCAGCAATATCGAATCAAGTGAGCATGATTTTTTTTTCTAACAAAAGTGCATTGAATCAAAATCGTATTTCCAGGATTTGGAATAGCTACGGAGTTCACACCCATGTCTGCACAGCGGATATCACCAGTATGGACGGTTGTCGTACGCTGCTGAAGGAAGCGTCACGATTTGGTGCGGTAGCCGCAATCTACAACCTGGCAGTTCAGCTGCGTGACGCCATCTTGGAGAATCAGTCTGTGGAGATGTTCGTGGAATGTATGGCACCGAAAGCGAAGGCTACCGAGTACTTGGACATAGCTAGCCGTCTACTGTGTCCTCAGTTGAAACACTTTGTAGTGTTCTCTAGCGTTTCCTGCGGTCGAGGAAATGCAGGTCAGAGCAACTACGGCATGGCCAATTCCGTAATGGAGCGAATAATTGAACGAAGATGTGCAGAAGGCCTCCCTGGAAAAGCAATTCAGTGGGGAGCGATTGGAGAGGTCGGATTGGTCGCCGATATGGCTGAGGATAAGGTTGATATGGTAATCGGTGGAACTCTGCAGCAAAGAATTTCATCATGTCTGCTGGAGATGGACTTTTTGTTGACATGTGAGAACCCACTGGTGGCCAGTATGGTCGTTGCGGAGAAGCGAAAGGGAAGTGGATCAAAGAACATTATAGAGGCAGTAATGAACATAATGTGCATCAGAGATTTGAAGTCGGTGTCGATGGAGAGTTCACTGGCCGATATAGGAATGGATTCGTTGATGGCAGTCGAAATCAAGCAGGTGTTGGAGAGAGACTTCGACATGGTGTTGTCACCGCAGGATCTCAGGACGTTGACGTTTGCGAAATTACTGAAGATGGAAGAAGAGAAGAAGCAAGCTGACAAAACTGAACAGTCCAAGGAAAGTGAGGGATTGGCTATTGGTTTGCAGATGCTACTGAGAAATCTAGGCAACGAAGATACCAGTGAATCGACATTTTTGCGCTTGCCATCGGCCGGTGATGAAGGCCGCCCTATTCTTTTGATTCCTGGCGTTGAAGGTGTTGCTGGTAACGTATGGAAAACAATTGCTGAGCAGGTTAATGTTCCAGTGTACCTGCTTCAGTTGTCCAGCACGCTAGAGTGTGAAAGCATTCCAGCAATTGTGGATTGCATCATTGATGAGCTATGCAGTGTTCTGCTGAATGGCCACGATGACTTTGCCATTGCTGCGTATTCTTTCGGGGCGCTGGTGGGAATCGAGATAGCGAGATGCCTACAGACGAGAGGAATTCGAGGGAAACTTCTCCTGCTGGATGGGGCTCCGAAGTACTTGAAACTATGGTCACTGAAGCAGTTAAATAATAATCCCACCGATGAAGAAACGCAGAAACTAGTTATGCTCGCTTTGATAGCGATGTGTGCACCGGATATAGCCACTGAGAAAATAGTTTCGGTTTTGCAAATTTCGGCATTTGAAGATCAACTCGAAAAGGTTATAGAGCTCGGAGCTCAGCAAAGCGTGTACTCTGCTGATTATACAAGAAAGATGACAAAAGCTCTGTGCAAGAGAATTAAGATGGCCGCTCTTCTGAACCTGGATGAGGATCAGCCCTTAGATTTACCGATTATGCTGGTGCGACCGACCGAATCGTCCTTTGCGGATATCGAAGATGACTATGGATTATCCAATTATACGACGGGTGCTATCACGCAGCGTATGATTGAAGGTAATCATTCGACAATGTTGGAAAATTCCGACCTGGTGGAGATGATCAATAGCTTTAATCTGTAGTTTGCATAAGAAGCGCTATGATTCTGTGTTTGCGTATGTTCCAGTGTTAAATATATCAGAGAGCGTACATTGTCTCTATTTAAGTATCATCTCGATTCGAATTATTCTATTAGTGGCTACATTAGCCAGAACAAATCTGTGTCGCACGATGTCAGTCGGTGATAGTCTTCCATGCGGTTAGCATGGCTTCTTCAGTGAAAGAGCGTGGAAGCTGGGCCTCCAAGACGGAATTTATCTTATCGTGTCTTGGCTACGCGATCGGAATCGGTAATGTGTGGAGATTTCCCTATCTGTGCTACCGAAATGGCGGTGGAGCGTTTCTGGTTCCGTATCTGTCGATGTTGTTCTTGTGTGGAATTCCGTTGTTTTTTCTCGAGGTTTGCCTCGGTCAGTTCACCGGTTTGGGTTGCGTAACAGTGTTCAAGATCGCTCCCTTGCTAAAGGGGGCTGGACCGGCAATTGTGATAATAAACTTTATCTGTTCGTCGTATTATAATGTAATCATTGCCTATCCAATGTTGTTCCTATGGAAGTCGATGCAAGCTCAACTGCCTTGGGAGAGCTGCAATAATGAGTGGAATACGCCGAGATGTTTGGAGCTGGGTGGACAAGGCAGGGCACAGATATTAATGAATAACAGTATGTTAAGCCCAGCGGAGCGTTGGCGAACTCCTGCGGACGAATTTTTCCAGTACAGTACCCGCCCATCCTGTTCCGCTATTCAACATCGGCTGATAACATTTTTTGCATTTCTCCCAAACAGCAACGAAATTCTTCACATCTCGGATGGTATCGAAACTGTCGGTTCCATCGTGTGGCCCTTGTTCGTGTGCAATGCCATTTCGTGGGTAGTCATCTACGCTTGCATCATCAACGGAGTGAAATCCATTGGGAAAGTGGTGTACTTTACGGCAACGTTTCCGTTTGTGGTTCTGGGCATTTTGTTCGTCCGTGGGATCACGCTGCCTGGCGCAGCGGAAGGAATTCGGTTCTACATTATGCCCCAGTGGAGTGAGCTTACCAACTTGAAGGTGTGGGCAGATGCTGCAATACAGATCTTCTTCTCACTGGGTCCCGGTTGGGGAGGGATTGTGAATATGGCCAGTTATAATCAGTTCAAGAATAATACCAAACTTGATTCGATATTGATTCCGATTGTGAACTGTGGAACGAGCATCTTTGCCGGATTTGTAGTATTCTCAGTGCTGGGTTATTTGTCACGTGAGTGAATTTTGCCCTTCTGTTCGTTGAGTGAATTGCGTGACTTTGATTTTGATTCACAGATCAAACCGGACTACCGGTATCAACGGTGGCCACCGGAGGACCGGGGCTGGCGTTCATAACGTACCCGGAAGCGATCGCGATGCTTCCCTTTCCGCATCTGTGGGCGTCGCTATTTTTCATGATGCTGTTTTTCCTAGGCGTGGGTAGTATGGTAGGTTTGGTGGTTTTGTTTTTTGTTTACTAGCGATTATGGTTGTCAGTAACAATATGTATTGCTTGCAGTTTGTACAGATTGAGGCGATAATTTCCTCGGTGTTGGATGAAGTGCCACGGCTAAGACGACGGAAACGGTTGATTACATTGGGTATTTGTTTTGTGATGTTTTTGCTGTCCACGTCATGTACAACAGAGGTAGGTTCGTTACTAATTAATCATTTAGTCGTGCTTTGTATTAATTTTCCATCAGATGTCAGGGCTGGTCTGTGTTGCGACATCTACTGGAAATTGAAGAATTTAAGTAGACAATGTTTGAAATATCAGTGCCTCTCATTGCCCCGACTAGACTTAAGTAATATTTTGTCTTTTGTTAAGAAAAACTGATGTGAAATCTGAGAAAAGTAATTTTTCAGACTAAAATAAAGTGGATAGTTCTAGTAAGCTTCAAATATTAAGCATGTAAGAGATTTTTTGGTAAATATGTACAATAAGTTGATTTTCAAGCGGGTGGCCATATTGCAACATTGGCAAAATTGCTCCACCCTTCTCTACTAACTGAAAAATAAAAAAACACCGCTTGCTTCGATCATTATTTAAAAATCGATATCAAGTAAATTTACGCAAATATTTTGGAGTCCTTAGCAAATATTGAAAAATTCCTGATTCTTTATTGATAATCAAAAAAACCTTAAGCCACAATCCACTTCTGTCCTCCGACTGGAACCGGTGCAACGTGGTACGATCCGGGAGTGGCTGCAATCTGCTTCGATACTGGAACCGACGACAGATAGCCTCCGTTGTATCCCCATCCGTTGACTGATGCACCAGCACCGTACGTTCCCCATGGTTGTCCCCATGGATAAGCTGCCTTAGCCACGTTGGCCTGAACTACGGTCTTGTGTCCATACAGGCCATTGTTGTAGATGGAAGCAGCAGGAGACCATGCGGAGGCGGACCACGAGTTGACGTATGGCTGAGCGTTCCAGTTGGCAGCAGTGGTGTGTGGCCAAGCGTTGTATGCTCCCTGTGCTAAGATTCCGTTCGGTGGCCACACTGAGGTGCTGCTTACTGGCCAGGATGGGTAGGATGCTACCTCCGGGACGTAGGATGCTTGGGATGCAACCGCAAGGGTTAGGGCGACGACTGCGATGAAAACCTAAGTTGAAGAAACAAGAAATCGATGTTATTAGAGAAAAAGAAGTTTTACGAACGGTGGTATTACCTTCATTTTGGATTAGCTGAGAGAGGGAACTTTAGTTGCCTGTTGAGTGATGAGTTGTTGATTGATGCCACCATTAAGTCACCTGCTTGTTTTATACTTCTTTGGGGCTAACTGCCATGTAAGTTCATGTGTTACGGTTGACTGCACTTGCAAAATGTGAGCGGAGTTTGTCGCACATTAATTATTTGCCAAATACGCTAGGTGGTCGTTAGCACTTTGTGTGCAGATGTCATTTTTGAAGGCTTTACACAGTTAACTAACCAGGATTGATATTGTGTATTTCCCTGAAATTCACTTTCAATCAATCGTAAAAGCCATTATTGCAACGGGTATAAATACGCACATTGGATCAAATTGTGGCATCAGTTAACCGCTCCCCATTCTCTCAGTTACTTCCAAGCTAGCTTATAATGAAGGTAACATTTAACGTTCATAATAGATCTTGATCTCAATTAACATTAATTAATTCATTCCTAAGGTTTTTATCGCAGTTGTCGCCCTAACCCTTGCGGTTGCATCCCGAGCATCCTACGTCCCGGAGGTAGCATCCTACCAATCCTGGCCAGTCAGCAGCACCTCAGTGTGGCCACCAAATGGAATCTTAGCACAGGGAGCTTACAACGCTTGGCCACACACCACCGCTGCCAACTGGTACGCTCAACCTTATGCAAACTCGTGGTCTGCCTCCGCATGGTCTCCTGCTGCTTCCATCTACAACAATGGCCTGTATGGGCACAAGACCGTAGTTCAGGCCAACGTGGCTAAGGCAGCTTATCCTTGGGGACAACCATGGGGAACGTACGGAGCTGGTGCACCGATCTACGGTTTGGGATACAACGGAGGCTATGTGTCATCAGTTCCAGTATCGAAGCAGATTGCAGCCACTCTTGGATCGTACTACGTTGCTCCGGTCCCAGTCCGTGGACATAAGTTGATTGTGGCTTAAGGTTTTCGAAATCAGAATAAATGATCATGTACTTGACTATGTAAATGTTTGTTTCAATTCTATTAGTAGTAGTGCAGACCCAAGTAGCAATTATGGCTTTATGAGGGTTCTCTAGATCATGATTTAGACTGGTAAAATGCTTTAAAAACTCGAAAAAACGAAAATGATTGATAATTGTGAAGATTGAATTTTATGACGCTTCCATCAATCCCCATTTTTTTTCCAGGGTGGAATGTACCTACTGCAGCTGTTCGATTGGTACTCGGCTTCGATTTCGGTCATCCTGGTGTGCATCGTGGAGGTCATCGCAGTGGCATGGATTTACGGAGTTCAGAATTTTGTACGTGATGTTGAATTCATGATTGACCGGCCAGTCGGGCGATTCTGGGTCGTTTCCTGGAAGTTCGTTACACCGGTCATACTCATTGTAAGTCCGTAACTGTCAGCTTGTGGCGGGATTAAAACCTTTTGCTTGAATTGTAGTTCATTTTCTTCACCACCATCGTTCACAACACTGAAGTTACCTACAACGGAGTTCAATATCCGCAGTGGGCAATTGCCGTCGGTTGGATGAGCTGTATATCGTCAATGCTGTGTATTCCGGCTTATGCGCTGTATAAGCTCGCTACTACTAAGGGCACGTTTATGCAGGTAATGTTTTCCTTTTTTCTCAACGCAAACATCATAATTCGTGAATTTTCAGAGAATCAAAACAAATTTAATCCCGTACGATTGGGGTCCATCAGACGAACTGCAGAAGTCGTTGTGGCAAAGCCATGTGGAGATGAGTCCCATCGAATGAAGGTCATTTTCTAGTAATAGTTCCTAGCTTCAAGCAAACAGCATTAAGGAAAGCATAGAATTCCTCGAATTCGGAAATAATAGTGATTACCTAGAAATTACACTTTTCATTTAACTCATATTCCATTTATTCACCAAAAAACAACCATGTTCCACAATAAATTTCAAATCAATTCAAAACATTCCCGATTGTTCTCCTAAGTTAACACCGTTGTCATACCGCACCGAAATGGATTCAATTGGTTCCCGCAGCTGGTTCCAGATTGAGCTGCTGCTGGGAGATCTCGTGTCCTGGAAGGGGTGCTTCATGGACCGCTCCACGGTTGGCAGCCAGATAGCGAGCCTCCTTCTGGAGCAGAACGGCCGGCGCCGAGTAGGCCAGTGGAGCGTGAGCGTAGGTGTAGTACTGCGCACCGTAGGCCAGTGGGGAACCGTAGGCAGCTGGAGCAGCGTAGGCCAGTGGGGCACCGTAGGTAGCTGGAGCACCGTAAGCGGCAGCTGGGGCGTACGACCATGGGGCAGCGACCAGCTTCGGGGCGGAGTTGCTCTGAACTACGGTGGTGTGGGGCAGGCTGTAGGCCCACGGTGCCGCACTATATACCAGCGGTGCGTAACTTGCCTGGGCGACAACGGCGAAAGCGACCATGACTACAGCTGCGATGCACTAAGAAATTTAACGGATGGTTAGTCATCAACCTCAGGATTGTCAATATTCCACAGGGCGAGCAACACTTACCTTCATGATTGCTTATTGAATTTGTTTTTCGGGTGCGGAGATGATTTCCTCTAGGCAAACAGATGAACTCTGATGCTGGAAGGACGCTCGGGATCGCTTTTATACGCTCGAACGACGGGGGTCTCATCCCGGAACGGAAGAACAGTAGAGGTTTGCCAGAACGCAATTTGTTCTGCCGTATCCCATTACCCCATCAGGTACCTCTATTTACTAGAACAAGCAACGGCGACAAACGAACGAACGAACGATCGGAGAAAAGGCACAAGACGAGAAGCGATCGGGAGTCATTCAATCAAAAAAGAAGTTGATACAAATTCTTACGCGCGCGACTTGGTCGGGAACCAACCGACGCCCACCACGCGGTGTGGTTGACGGTTGGATTAGGTGCACAAAAATTGTACAGCTACGTACTGAGTCACCGTCGCGCCGGGTTGGTGGATGATTGATCCCGGATGACCGGACCTTGTATGGTGTGGGCCGCGGTGGTTCGCAAGAGGCGGAATTGATTGAGCGGTATTGTTTTTCATTTGCGTCAAGAGTTTGTTGACATTGGTTGCAATTTTTAACACTTTAAGCTCTATGGATTCGGTACACGCATGGTGAATATGTACAAGGCTAGATCGATTTTCTGACTGTTGTATCTCGTGTAGTATATGTAGTTGAAACAGTAATTTTAATTGTTTAATTTATTTTAGTTTTTCCATTATATACAGGAATGTGTCTGCCACGAAGACAATTCAAAAAGTTAAAGTCTGTCTCTACCAGTTTGCTAGCAAATTGTGCAATCTTCATTTTTACGCGGGTTGCTTGAATTGTTTACGTGATTTTCCAGAAATTTGAGATTTAAAATCTAAAATACATTGCATTATAAATGAAGTTTATACCTAATGCTTTATGGAACAAGTCTAAAGGTCGTAGCAGGAGTTAAGTTCAAAAGGGCTTATTGATTTATTTTTAAATTTAAAAATTCTCTTAACGAGCTAAGAATTGTCATCGCCATTGAATGTTTTCACGTGGTATTGAAAGAATTATTCTTGATATTGTTTCTGGAAGAATTCGCACTCACATAAACCTTTGTGAAAAACTAATTATTTTTTCGTCAATGATAATGATAACCTGGTAACAGAAAGTGTAATTTCATGCGTCCTTTAGTTTCGTTACAAGTTTAGGAAATACGAAAACTCCACATGTTCGTCACTACACTATACTATATACACTACATTGCACAGTGGTCTATAAACTGTATTTAGGTGGAATAAATTGTTTTTTGTAATATGGTGGTCCAAACAGTTGATAAGCTCCAAACATCAACTTTTTAGTTATTTGAGATAGACCAGTGTTATGTTGGACGAAGTTGTAGAACAACTTATTTGAAACAACTTTGCAAAAGTAAGCAATTTTCTGTCTCTAATGGTCCACGAGTTAAGCATGTTTTTAATAAGTAGCTTAGAGTGGTCCCTTAAACTGTAACTTTGTATACATCGATTTCACGTAAAGTATATGCTGTTGAGACTTTTTAAACATTTTATGGTGCAAATGTTTGCCCAAGTAACATAGTTGCCGACTCAGATTGTTGAAAAGTTATAAACAATATTTACTAAAATAATACGGCGCATGTGCTATTAAGGTTTTGGACAATGCATTTTCGTGTTTTTTAACGCATCGTTACAGTATATTTTTGAGTATGTCAATGTTTTAGAACTCTTAATATCCTTTTCAAAATGCTCTTTATAATTGACATTCAAAATCAGCAATCGGGATTCAACAGGTTGTAGTTGAGAACCAGTTAAGTTGGGTCGCTCGCGGTGAAAATCAACATTTTTCATTTTATCAATATTTTAAGATAAATGATGTACAGAATTGATTGACAATTAGGCCAAAACAATTTAAAATTGTTGTGTGTTCTTTACAACCTATTCCATGGATGCTAAAGCTACTAAGGTCATGAAACAAGCTCTAAAATAGTATACGATGTCACACTGTTTTGTCATACTGTCCAACATTTTAAAGACGACCAAATTCTTAGATCATAAAAGTACCTAAGAGAATAGGTTTTAATTTGTTTTTGGGAAGTTAACTTCTTAAGAAGGACATAACATATGTAGGGGAAATGACGGCTTTGGCATGCCAGACTATTTTCGGCAACCCAAATTGAAACACTATTTTCACTGGATTTTCTTACGAAAACACTTCGCTGAATGCATGCAAACGATTCTTTATGCTTTCAGCTTCAATTTGACTATACTTTAACCACTGAGAAAAGGCAATCTAGCAAGGTTTTCTTGGAATGAAACACACGCACTACAAATTGTAGCTGATTTCGAGTTGCCGATAATAGAACAGCAGATTTACATGCAGTTCAAATGGAACGGTTGCCGAAGAAAAACTGGTTGCCGACAATACTCGCTCTCACTAGAGAAGATTGGAGCTTTGTAAAAGCGTTTCAAAACAGTTTTTGACAATTCTTTCGACTGAAATTGTTAGAGCAGGTGGCAGCAAAAGATTGTAAACAAACCAATACTGCATATGTGTGCGTTCCTTAGAGAAAAGGGCTATAGAAAGAAGGTCGCTGCTTAGGTTGCCGAGAATACGTAAATTCCCCTATATGATTAAAGTTTTGTTTTTAATATTTTTGATGGGTTTGATCATAGTTTTGAACTTTAAAAAAAATTTCTTTTTATGAGCTTTTATTTAAAAAAAAAATAAAAAAAAAAAAAACATTGAGCAAGGTACCGTAAAACGGAGTAAAATTGATGAATTTTTTAAAGTATATTCTAAATAAATTTTTCAGCAATGAATGTTTCTAAAATTTTTATTTTTTTAAAACATGTGCTGAGGATCCTAGAGTTAATTCGTTAGTAATATGTTTTGATTTACGGTTTAGCGACTTTGCAGTCAATTTAATTGTTTATAAGAAAGTTTGAACATACTGGGAGGTAAGTACATATCATCGGTAAGAAACGTGTGTGTGTGTGAGAAAATTTGCGAAAAAATCTAAGGGAACGGATTCGAAACTCAAATGTCATTAGCCAAATACATCCGTAGACCATAGGTCCACCGGTGCCCTTAGATTTTCCGCAAATTTTCTCACACACACGTCTCTTACCGATGATATGTGTTTACCTCTCAGTATGTTCAAACTTTCTTATAAAGTTAGTAATATGTTTAATTAAAATTAAAGCATTTGCCAAGGGGTGTTCAACTCTGCACATCTCAATCTGTGCCGAATACATTCTATGTGCCAAAAGCTGGGTCAACCGTTGTGCCGAGCGTGCCGAAGTATGGCAATCAAGGTATCAGTTTCAGTATCCCATGAGTTCGGCATCTCTGCAGTTATGATTTTTGAGATTTATTTGTTTACAGTGTAACGGAAGCCTCTCAATCTGCGAGATTTCGACCACTGAATACGCTTCCTGTCTCAAAACGAGTAGCTTAAGCGCCACCTCCGAAGAGGACCACTCGTCACGGTTTGATTTGCCTGGCAAGAAACCCAACCTCAGGGCGGGTTAATGTGTAGAAGAGACCGAAAATTAGTTTGAGATCCTCACAGAGAGAGGCTGCTTCAAACAGTCTTAAGGGTGCTAACCGCTGTTCTACCGAAACACAACAAACCCCACTCACATTTATCATCACTGGAGGAACTTACCCTTTCAGATTTCTTCCGCCGATCGTGACACGTGAGTGCGGAGACTGTTTTCCCAGGCAGTCCAACCTGGAGTAAATTCGGCTAGCAAAAAATACCACAGCAAATAACGCAAAAATAGAACGACGCCAAATGTGAAAAATCTGGTCATTACCTGGAAAGCTTAAACTTAACGAAAACAACATTTATTTCAGGGGAAAATAACCGAAATCATTATATAATTTATTAGAGTTCTTAACCTAGGTTTGTTCAAGGCTTGTTCCTTTCCATATGTATGTTTGTTTGCTAGCTCTCCCTAACCGCGTGTGCGGTTTCTGATCTGGTTCTAGCGATTGCTAGCCTATCCTTTTACTTGTCTTCGAGCTGATGTGTTTGTGTGTGTGTGGAGATTTTCATGCATTTTGTTTACTCACGGTACCATCGATGTCGTCGCTGCTTTATCCGTATCGGCACAGCAGCATCCCTTTGTCGGAGTGAGGTTGGCAAAGAAGCACTCTATTGATCGGTGTTGGTGTTGCGCATTGTACCCCAGACTGGTATGGTGCGGAAATTCCCAATCGAATCCTCGAATTGGTACTGATACTAGCGCCCGATTGCCGACGGCGCAGATGTCGACGAGGGGATCGTCGGTTATGCACGGAAGCACGTTAGTTCACGTGGTGGATGCTGGCGGATTTGGTTAAAGCTCTGTCGGAGAATAGGTTAACGGTGTCTCCCTTCCGGATTCTCCCAAACCGTAAACCTTGACGCTGAAGCGTGGGGTCTAGAGAGTGCGAAATTTTATCATGGGTGCCGTGTGCCGAGCAAAGCCATGTATCGCTAGAAGCGATGCGGTGCAATCTCCAATCTGCACAAAACGATCCTGCACAAAAAGCCGACGAACACACAAAAGACATTATTCACCTTACCTTTATATTCACTTTGCACACACAAAAAGTTGATCGCACGTAACTTCTAACCTAATGTTTGAACTCTACAGGCTAACGGAAAGGAACGAGAAATGTAACATTAAATTCAGTATTTTAGACTGCTCACATTTTAAACTTCACAAACCACGAAAAACACACACTTAAGTATCAGGTCATGGTAATTCTATCTACCATCCATCAGGTCATGGTAATTCTATCTACCATCCATCAGGTCATGGTAATTCTATCTACCATCCATCAGGTCATGGTCATTCTATCTACCATCCATCAGGTCATGGTCATTCTATCTACCATCCATCAGGTCTTGGTCATTCTATCTACCATCCATCAGGTCTTGGTCATTCTCTCTACCATCCATCAGGTCATGGCAATTTTTTCAAAATAATTCTTCAGTTCTTTAGTCATTCCACTATACTTACACTATCGTACCAACTGTGCCATTGTCGTGACCGGACCGAGGTTTCCAGCCTCGGCCACGGCAACAAGAATTAGCGATGCAGCTCCCACGAGTGCGGCTGCTTCTATTGCTGCTGTTTCTGCTGCTGAGGTTTCTGCTGCTGAGGTTTCTGTTGCTGCTGTTTCTGCTGCTGCTGGTGGTCCGTCACCTCCAAAATTCGTTACAAGAATAACTTCAACGAGCTTAGGTACTTCATATTTATACCTGCTAACCTATCAAAATTCTCTAACCAATGAGATTCTGTTTACATACGAACTATCACGCTTCACGCTCACTTGATTCTACTCATTATTTATTCAACACTAACTCTATCTACTACAGGGGTGTTTACACTTATGCTATTCCACTAGCGCTAATAAGCCAGCAGCTAGCATAAAAGCTCACCAGCATAATGTAAACAGCGCATTAGCGTCTACCAGCATGAGATTTCAAGAGCAACTGATATTCGTGCTAGTTGACTAGTACACTAGCGCTAGCAAATCCGCACAGATGTTAACACCCCATTATACATGTTATATTCACATCAATCTAATATTGTTTTAATTTTTCTATAATAGTACGTTCAGACTACAGAGTTATAACATGTTATAGCGCTATCTTAATGGTGGTTTCTGTGTTGCAATTAGTTGACAACCGTTATAACTTTCCAGTCTGGACAGCGTTTTATCATAGAGGTAACTCTAAGACCACTGGGTCCCGAAGAAAATCATTATTATTTTTGGCTCACTCAGTACCAGAACAACGGTCCCAAGCAGTCCCAAGCTATTTCACTCACCCCTGCATGTTCTGCATGAATCCACACACCCCTGATGTTATCTGTCAAACTTTCATAGCGAATCAAAACAAACATAGTGTAGTAATACAATTTCAACTAGAAGAGGGTACGTTAACCGTTTGCTTGGGACCAATAGGCTACTAAAGTGGTGAGCCAATTTAAAATCGTTAGTTTCGTATTGATTGTTTTATGCCTTGTTCAGACTGGAGAGTTATAACATGTTATAATGGTTGTCAAACGGCGCCGGTGGTGTAGTGGTAAGCGTGATTACCTCTCACCCCAGCAGGCTTGGGTTCAATCCCAGTCGGCGCCGCCGGGATGTTCTGAGGCATAACATCTCTGATCACGCCTTCCTTCGGATGGGAAGTAAAGTAGTTGGTCCCCGGTTCATGAGTTGATGGGTCGATAGGTAGGGTCCAGGTGTGGGAGCTGCCTTCCTGGCACGTCGGTAGCATTGGTGCTCAGCACGGAAAACAAGATCGACGGAAAAAAACAAAACAAACGAAAAAAATGGTTGTCAAATAACTGCAAAACAGAAACCACCGATAGCGCTATAACATGTTATAACTCTGTAGTCTGAACTTACTATTATGTTTGCAAAACGAAAACCGAACGGAGGGTGTGCAAGTGTTATCTTTCGGTTCGGTTCAAAGATGCTGAACGAATAGACAGAGTATCACAACCGAACGCAGGGTGCTCGTTCGTTGCTCGCTTTCGTTCCAGGTGACATCACTGTACAAGATCCTAAAAGACCAAATTTTAGCTTAAATGTGAAGGGTTGCCAAAACAAACAATTATGCATAGTTTCATGCAAATCGGAGAAAGTCGAGTTTTTTAGTTGAGATATTTGAGTTTCTAACACTTATTTGGATTTTTTACTAAACATAAAACAATATACCGGGTTTAGTTTTCAAAGAAGACTTTATTTTTCTCTTCAACTTTTCTCAAAGATCATTTATTTCAGTAGTGACGTTTGCGTGCTACAATACATAAAAAAAAAATCAAAGACGCCCTTTTGAAAAAAAAAACAAGATCCAAAATGGCCGAAAACAATGTAAATGATTACCAATATCAAACTATTATGCAAAGATTCATGCAAATCGGAGAAGGTCGAGTCAACAATATTTTTTTTTTTGCTTTTGGACTGGAATTGCTCTGCTGCAAAATGTTAAGCCAGCTAGCTCGGTTCTTGGTTGCTTTTAGAGTTTTTCGAGCATCCAACACTACCTAGATTTTGTATGGTGCCGATGGTGGGGTGGGTCTGATCTCAGCCGAGGTCTATGAGATTTTCTGAGAGAAAAAATCATTGATCACGTCTTTCTTCGGAGGGAATGTAAAGACGTCGGTCCCGGCCGATGTACTGATGGGTTCGATATCTAGAATTCTGGTTTGAAGTTGCCACTTGGGTCCGCACATAGTATTCAAATTAATGTGTCGCTATTCACACTCAGCTGTTGTCGAGACCGGTCAGAACCAGTTGTACCACTCGGTGTGGTTGTATGTTTGATAGCAGCTCTTGTTTTGGTGCACTTTGTTCATTGCTCGCAGCTTGGTCGCTTTGTCGTTGCCGTTGAGAGGAAAAAAAAATTGGAGATGTGGAAGTGAAGGATACAATTTGATTACATTTTGTGAAAGCACTAGATGCGTTTTCCATTCAGATGGAATCAGCTTTGTGGATTGCGACATGGATTTATAAAGTTAAAAGTCAGAAAAATCGATACTGCATGCATTTTTGTAAAATTCGAAAGTTTTAATTTTTAATTCTGTGAACGGAAAGGCAGTTGCATGTTGCATGTGCGGGATTACGATCAATTTGGGCAAATGTATGTTCTACCACCGGAAGTGCCTTACCGTGATCTAGCGTTCGTGCTTGGGATATATGGTAAAGTTAATTATGTAATCTGGGAGACATTCGCTGCGGAACTGTTCTTCGACATATGGACGTGAAAAAGGAAATTACCACATCATTGCCCAATTATATGACGGGAATTAAAACATGTGTTCCATATGCATGATGAAGGGGCACCGTAAGAATATCTGTCCCTAGTAAAAGACTTGGGAGCTGCCAGAAAAGCAACAACATGACAAAGAACAGAACGGCAAAACCAATGCTGTCGGGCTGAATGGATAATGTCAATATTTTTGTACCACTTTGATTTCCTGACAGTAAACATGGGTGAAAATTGCTAGCACTAATATGATATGAAAATTAAACTTACCATGGGGTTTGATTTGATCATGCTTAATAAAAATTTATCTGAAACGCCATCATCGAAATTAATTGAAATTTCAACCACCGCCAAACCCACCGCGCACCACGGATGTTCAACATGATGCTAAATCACAACAGCTGAGAAAAGAAGGAAGAAAAGCAACGCCGCTGCCGTCGTCGTTCGGCCGTTCACTCATTCACACAAGGGAGTAAATACCTAGCTACAGGTAAAGTGTGATACCGTGCGTTCCCCGTTCCAGATCTGCTCTCGGAGATGGTTGGCAGGATTGCTTGTAGGCCTACCACCAGCATGCTTTTGCTGTAACGTAATGATAATGCGAGCGTGGTCCCAGAACCGGATTTTGCAGCGGATCGAATATCTATGCCTCGCTGTAGAACTAGATTCGTAGAACCATCTGCTGGTTCGTTCGGTTCAATGGACGGTTTACGCGCCAATCCCGCGTGTTCGAAATGAACACGAAGGTATTACAAAATACGAGTATCCACGCACATGCCCGTTGGGGTGGGGTCTTGAGGAAGCGTGGGATATTTGTTTTGCTGCTTGTAGCTTGTTTAGCGCATATTATTGTTATTACATTATGGGTGGAGGATGCTCGGTTGCAGAAATAAAAGGTCACAACTAGATCACTCTTCGAAGGCAGTCCATAAAATGTTGAAAATTTTTCACAGTTTTTTTTTCCATGGTCACACTTCTTTTGTTTAAGGACGAATAAGGAAGTCGGGTGGAAAAGCCGGTCTGTCCTCTCAGCTTGCTAATGACGTCAACTTGTGTGCAATGCGGTGGTACTCTGCAACGGGATTGCAATTATATTCTGGGTATATATAATGAGTTGGATTCCAGAGGCAATCAGAATTCTTCTGACATCCGAGAACAAATCATCAAACATCGCAATCATGAAGGTGAGTTGAATATTTTTAATTTCATTAGAATCCTGTGATTGAATTGTCAATCCTTTTCACAGTGCATCGCAGCTGTAGTCATGATGGCATTCGCCGTTGCCGCTGAAGCTGGATACGTCCCGCTGCTGTACAGTGCTCCACTGGCGTACTCCGGGCATACGACCGTCGTCCAGGGTAACCAAGCTGCTCCGGCGAAGATTACCGAGTATCAAGCTCTGGCTTATTCTGCCCCAGCCTATGCTCCTTACTCCTACCCGTCTTATTACGCCTATCCTGCTCCGGCTCCCATCGCTTATTCTGCTCCAGCCGTACTGCTCCAGAAGGAAGCTCGCTATCTGGCCGCTAACCGTGGAGCAATTCATGAAGCGCCTCTTCCAGGACACGAGCTTTCTCAGCAACAACTCAATCTGCAACCAGCTGCGTAAACCGATTGAGATCGTCCAACGGCTTTAGTTTGGGTCTGTGATATGACCTCGAAAAATTGAAATACACATCTTCTTCGGCAAATAGTAGAGCATTTATTTAGATTCCGAAAACCTTAAGCCACAATCAACTGATGTCCACCGACTGAAACCGGAGCAACGTGGTATGAGCCGGAGGTGGCAACAATCTGCTTCGATACTGGAACCGACGACAGATAGCCTCCGTTGTATCCCAAACCGTAGACCGGTGCACCAGCACCGTAGGTTCCCCATGTTTGTCCCCAAGGATAAGCTGCCTTAGCCACGTTGGCCTGAACTACGGTCTTGTGTCCATACAGGCCATTGTTGTAGATGGAAGCAGCAGGAGACCACGTGGAGGCGGACCACGAATTGGAGTAAGGTTGAGCGTTCCAGTTGGCAGCGGTGGTGTGTGGCCAAGTGTTGTAAGCTCCATGGGCATAGATTCCATTTGGTGGCCACACTGAAGTGCTGCTGACTGGCCAGGATGGGTAGGATGCTACCTCCGGGATGTATGATGCTTGGGATGCAACCACAAGGGTCATAGCGATAATTGCGATGAAAGCCTGTATGAAAGAAATATGAGTGGAAGTCTAGAATAACATGTTGAATATATTCTTACCATCATTTTGACTTAGTTGGGAGTGCACTGAGCTTCTGTTGTTAGTAGAATGATGAACTGTTAATTGATGTCAATTTGGTGTCAGTTGTTCGTTTTTATACAATTTTTCCCAAGTAGAAATTCTTTGAAGTGACAAGTACACAGGCATAATTATTTCAGTTTGGTTGCTGAATCACAACCATTCTAAAACGTTTATTGATATGTACAGGATAACATAACATCCTGTCGCAAATAGCGAAAATTCAACAGACAATCTCTTTTTACGGTTTACGAAGAGCAGCCAACCGTAGCATTTGAACCTATTTTTCCCGTGGTTAGCAATCGAAAAAGTATAAAAACGAGCAGCTGATTGAGTTAGGACATCAATCAGCAGTACATCATTCAATTAACAATTGATACTCAGTGCACTCTCAACCAAATCAAAATGAAAGTAAGTGGTCTTAGATACGGAAGCCTTTTCGCCGGACTCTCATTAAAATTTTCCACAGGTTTTCATCGCAATCATCGCCCTAACCCTTGCGGTTGCATCCCAAGCATCTTACGTTCCGGAGGTAGCATCCTACCCATCCTGGCCAGTCAGCAGCACCTCAGTGTGGCCACCGAACGGAATCTATGCCCAGGGAGCATACAACGCTTGGCCACACACCACCGCTGCCAACTGGAACGCTCAGCCTTATGTCAACTCGTGGTCCGCCTCTGCATGGTCTCCTGCTGCCTCCATCTACAACAATGGCCTGTATGGACACAAGACCGTAGTTCAGGCCAACGTGGCTAAGGCAGCTTATCCTTGGGGACAACCATGGGGAACGTACGGAGCTGGTGCACCGATCTACGGTTTGGGATACAACGGAGGATATCTGTCATCGGTTCCAGTATCCAAGCAAATTGCTGTCACTCCCAGCTCGTACCACGTTTCTCCATTTTCAGTCGCTGGACAGAAGCTGGTTGTGGTTTAAGGTTTATGGAATCGAAATAAATGATCATGCAATATGACGGTATGAATATTGGTTTCACTTTTATCGGTAGTCTCATAAGGAGCATTAGAGAATTAATCAGACTGCTGTTTTCAGACTCCTGAGATCTAGGCCAAAATTTAAAGGAATTTAGCGTACGGCTTATTTTTTGCAATTACCCTGGGAAGTTTTGTTTGACTCAATATATTTTTTTAGAATTTTACCAGAAGTCTCTTCCAACTTTTTTAGGAAGATTGTTTTAGTAATTTCAGCGATCTAATAGGGGAAATGACGGCTTCGGCATGACAGACTATTTTCGGCAGTACAAATTGAAACACTATTTTCACTGGATTTTCTTACGAAAACACTTCGCTGAATGCATGCAAACGATTCTTTATGCGTTCAGCTTCAATTTGACTAAATTTTTTACCACTGAGAAAAAGCAATCTAGCAAGGTTTTCGTGAAATGCAACACACGCACTACAAATTGTAGCTGATTTCGAGTTGCCGATAATAGAACAGGAGATTTACATGCAGTTCATATGGAACGGTTGCCGAAGAAAAACTGGTTGCCGACACTACTTGCTCTCACTAGAGAAGATTGGAGCTTTGTAAAAGCGTTTCAAAACAGTTTTTGACAATTCTTTCGACTGAAATTGTTAGAGCAGCTGGCAGCAAAAAAATTGTAAACAAACCAATACTGCATATGTATGCGTTCCTTAGAGAAAAAGGCTATAGAAAGAAGGTCGCTGCTTAGGTTGCCGAGAATACATAAAGTCCCCTAGTTAAAAAAATATACCATTCTTAAATTGTTTCAGGATTTTAGCAGTTTCTTAGACTACAGTGAGATTCTCTGTGAAGATCTTTGAATTTCTATTGGTTACCCTGTACTTCCATACTTAACTTATGTCTTATGGTTCCAAAGCTTTTCTGAGATTCTCATTATTTTTCCGAAGTTCTCTGATCATCTTTATAGTAGCCTGAATTTCTTGGATTTTTTTTTCGAATTTCTTTATGGTTTCCTGAGGTCCTTGTAAACGAACCACCTCCAGATGTAAAAAAGTGAGGTTAATGCGATGATGCATCTCCATGCAGGATGCTAAATGCTGGCGTCACGAATGAATACAATGAACACACGAACATCTTGTTTGCAATTCCAACAACCTTGGTGGAATCCGCAATTGCGTAATCTGCGTAAAGCTCGAAAACGTTACTTTCGTTCCCGGACCGCAGCAAACAAGTATACGGTGCAGCTAGTTGAAGCAGAGTATAATAGTTTGCAGAAAGCTCGCTTTCGTGAGTACGTCGACAACCTCCAGAGGGATTTCAAGGAAAATCCATCGTCGTTCTGGTCTTTTATCAACTCTCGGAAAAGATCAGCTGGTATTCCCGTGGACGTCACCTATAGTAGTAGAAGCTCCACCACCGACTTCTGCTGACCTTTTCGCTGACTTTTTCCGAAGTGTTTTCAAACCCGATCAAACTTCTCCACGGCAGCAATACATTGACCATCTTCCAAGATACGACATTCACCTGCAGCAACTCATCTTCAGTCAAGACGCTATTCTCAAAGCCCTTTGCTCAGTCGATCCATCGAAAGGTCCAGGCCCGGACCGTATTCCACCGTCTTTCGTCAAGAACTGTGCAGCATCGTTGGCCACTTCCGTTATGTCTATTATCAATCGATCGCTTAAGGATGGCGTTTTTCCGGATGCCTGGAAGCTCGCCTCAATTACACCAAGCTTCAAGTCCGGTAACATGCACAAAGTGGAAAATTACCGACCTATCTCGATCCTGAACTGCTTGGCCAAAGTTCTCGAAAGTCTTCTGCATGAGAAGTTGTATTCAGCTGTTCAACCCATAATCTAAGTGTGTCAGCATGGATTCATGAAAAAGCGCTCGACAGTCTCTAACTTGATGACTTACACGAAAACTCTTATAGGTAGCATCGAGAAGCGTCAGCAAGTGGACTCCGTTTACATCGACTTCTCTAAGGCTTTTGACAAAGTCCCTCACGACCTAGCCATTATGAAGCTAAACCACCTTGGTCTTCCACCGTAGATCGTTTGTTGGTTGAAATCATACTTATCATCCAGGAAAGCTTTCGTTAAGGTACGCGATTCCAGATCCAAGGTATTCCATATACCATCGGGGGTTCCACAAGGGAGTCACCTAGGAGCTCTCATTTTCGTTTATTTAACACGTGCTAAGTTTCTGTAAGTTGCGCACTACAAGCTGATATAGAGTGATTGTCATCCTGGTGTCAGATGAATGGAATGCAAGCCAATGCTGCCAAATACAAAGTGATTACTCTTACCCGCTCTCACTCTCCGCTCATTTTTGATTACTCTATGAATCAATCGCCGCTGGAAAGGGTTAATGCCATTAAGGATCTTGGGCTCATCTTGGACAGCAAACTACGGTCTAACGAGCACATATCCATGACAGTTGCAAAGGCCAACTCCGCAATACTGCACAATTCGATGACGTGTACGCCCTGAAAGCGCTGTACTGCCCTATGGTCCGCAGTGTTCTTGAATATGGAGTACAAATTTGGGCTCCATATCATGCTGTTCATGTACTGCGCATCGAGAAAATCCAGAAACAGTTTATAAAGTTTGCATTACGACGTCTGCCATGGACAAATCCAGATAGCTTACCTTCGTACGAGCATAGATGTGCGCTTATTGGACTGCAAACACTAACAAATCGCCGAGCCTTTCTCCAGAGGGTGTTTATATTTGACATGATTAGTAATCATATTGACTGCAGTTGTTTGCTCGGGAACATCAATTTCCACACTCCAGCTCGCCGTCTCCGCAACTATTACTTTTTGTGGACTCCCGGACATCGTACTGCTTACGGTTATAACAATTCTCTCGATAGATGTTGCAGACTGTTTAATGATGTATAAATTTTAATATAAATAGACCAGTTTTTAAGAATAGGATCACTTTAAACGGTCTGTATGGCTAAAATGTCAAAGATGGTGGTTAAATAAATAAACTCCCGTTGATCGGTTTGACAGCCAGCAATGTTCAATGGCCTTTGCCTGTTAGTTAACTCAAGTGGATTCAAGTTTTAAAAACAAAATATCAAAAAGACGTGTTAACCGACGATAGTCTTTGGAAAATCGAAGGCAGCTCAGAAATGTTTTAAAAATATCACAATGAAGTGGTTAAACTCTTCTAAATTTAAAAATCATTCATCATTCAAATAAAAAAAATAAAATTTCTAATGAATACCTGTCACGAATTCAGCTTAATACTTTTCTGGTTTAAGTGACGAACCAACCCCCGACTGAAAGTCACTATTCTGGTCTAAGAACTAAAATATTTACTGATTCTCTGGAGTTCCCTGAAAGAGACATCATCTGCTCCGGGAAACAACAAATCTGGGAAATGGGAACGCTAGTTGTATCTTTTTCGAT